GACAACCGCGGCGTAGTTAAGGACTTGTCACATACGAATTGTACATACTATTATTGAAAATATATTTTGACTAAAGAGAATTAACCGTATGATATACCTGTTTAAACAAAATTATTAATATTGATGTAATCTGAACTAAATCTCCTGAAAAAATCATTTTTTCAAAATCAAATGCTTAATAGTACCTACTATTACTCTTGAAACTTAATGTGATTAACATATGTAAGATAAAATACAAAATTAGTCTACATGTGCATGAAGAGTTAGACTTCCAGAAGACACCACTTATTATAGATCTTTCCAACATTTGGAAAAACTAATCCATTTAAAGTAAATTAATATTTTTAGAGTTGTTCTAAGGTGTTTTTATCCTATGCTCTCCACAGAAAAATACCTGCATGTTATATTACCCTTTTTCGAAAGACAATCTTACTATTTATTAAAAAAATATATACAAAAATTCGAGGAATAAAATAGTCTTATTATGACAAATATAAACAAAGATAGTAAAATTGCAACAACAACAAAAATATTATTAAAAGAAAACACTGTAAAATATTAACTGAAAATGTTCGAGGCAATTTTTGGAATTTTTTAAAAATATTCAATAACACTTATTTTACAATGACGGTAACAGTTGAATTGTTAAAAACTTAACAGTAACAATAATACTTTAAAAACAACTCATAGAAACCACCGTGAATTAGTGTCATGTTCTAAATTTTGTATTTACTCCCAAAATTTAAATTCAAAATTTAGAACATGACTTTAGAGGAAAAACTTAAACTCTTAAAAAAAAATTATAAATATTTTCAAACAAAATAAAATCACTGATGATAAACAATGAACAAGATAAATCAGGGATTTATTTCTCCAGTTTAAGGAGGAAATAAAAGGGTGGGAGACCTAAAAAAAAATGCAGAAGGAGAAAGACAGAACGATCGACCTTGATTTTTCTCCATTTCGCCTTAAAAATCTGGATGTGTCTTAAAAAGTTTCTCCAGTAAGAGATTTATCACCTTGAGTCTCATTGCAAAAGCTCAAAGAGAACAGTTACTAATGTTATCATCTGAAAACTACTTTATGCAATGAATTTCAGACCTTGACCTCAAAATCAAAAGGGGTCTTCTTGAGTCAAAGAGAGTTTTGATATAAAATTCCGTTGCACAATATCAAAGAAAACTAAAGTTTTCATCAGGAAACCACTTCAAAATAAATAGGGATCTTCTTAAGGCAAAGGAAGTAATGATATAAAATTTCATTACAAAAGGAAATGACTTTTTGGACATCGTCGAAACCAAAATGTTACTAACAGACAGTAGAAACGGACAGACCCAAATAAATATACAACGCTTTTAGCGAAATCGGAAAAATAAATTCTTAGTTTACATAGGGTATGCTGGTTTATAAGAACGATAAAGATCCCCAAAGGTAATTTATTAACATTAGGCCAAAGGGTTTTAATGGTCACTTGAGTATAATGTAACGTTACTCTGAATATAAAATAAAACAAACAAGCATTCTGAGAGTATTGCATTAGCAATACTAGTCCCCTACCGGCAAGTATAATCTGGTTCCCGTTAAGAATTGAAAATGCCATAATTCCGTCAAAAATCAATGAAGTGGGGCGAAATGCAAACTTGATCTATAGCTAATCAAGGTTAAGTCACATACCAAAAATCAGCTCAATATCTGAAAGCGTTTAGAAGAAAATTGCGGAAAACCCTTAAAATTGAAAAGGCCGTAATTCCGTCAAAAATCAATGAAGCGGAACGAAATGCAAACTTCATCTGTAACTCATCAAGATACACTCACATACCAAAAATCAGCCCAATATCTGCAAGTGTTTAGGAAAAAAGTGCGGAAAACCAAGTGGGACAGACTGACAGACAGACAGAGGGACAGACGGACAGACAGACAGACAGACGGACGGACAGACTCAGAGGAAACCTATAGTCCCCTCCGGTTTCACCGGTAGGGGACTAATAAGCTGATAAATGAATCTATGTTGCCCAAAAGCAAGAGAAATAGGATGATCAGGGATCATCAAAGTAACTAATTTAGTGCTCGGTAACAAATTTTAAAGTTGATCTATTTACTTGCCTGTACTTGCCCCCATATGTCACTATCCCCATGTGGGCTAAACAAAACAATTATAGTTCTTGATCACTATTAGTAAAGCCATTTAATTTCCTCTCACTTTGACCTCTCTTAGTCTTTAAAGAAAATTAAATGTAATGTACAAAGATAAGGTGTTCTTGTCCCATTTTTATTTATCAATCATTTAAAAGTCGACCTGACCATTAAAAACTATGAACTTACTTATTATAAAAATTCTTGTAAAAATCTGTAATGTAATTGACCTTTCAATTACATTATTTACAGTGATTAACTATCAAAGGTGAATAGCAAAGGGGAATAACTTCTCTCAGTAGAATAGAAATTAATAAATTGACCAAGTGGTGTAGAATTTCAAAAAATATGGTAAAAATACTCTTGCTTATTACAACTTTATTCTCTGTTTGCCTCCTAGTAGATGCCCATGAGCAGAAAAGATTTTCAAAGAAATGTATTTTCACTTTAGATTCAACATAGCCCCGTCCTAACACCAGAGCCCAGGGGCCAAAAAAATCACATTTTCGGAAGACGCACCCTTGCTCATCATAACCATGCATTTAGTATGTTTGCTAAATACCCATGTGCAGAGGAGAAGATTTTCATAGAAATAATGTATTTACACAATATATATTCAAAAGAACCCAACCTTAACACCAAAACCCCTGACCCTTGGTTGTGAATTTCAAACTTTTAGGCATTCTTACTTCCCGCAGAACCACTGACCCTGGGGCCATAAATTTCACACTTCATATCAAACCTGTTTCTTGCATGAAATATTTTTAAAAAGAACTACCGCTATTTTTATAACTAAAAAAAGGTTGAATATCTATTAACATTTGCTATTTAAGAGAACATCACTCTAAGTGCAAAGGCACAGTGCATAAAAATGTTCTATTTTTTATAAATTATATAATAATTACTGGGTAGCATTGTCAAAACCACGATGAAAGCGAATTCTGAAACACCATTTACATATCAGACATACATTTCTATGGAAAATTCTAACAATTCTCCATACTTTGCAAATATTTCAAAATATTTACATATCTGAGTGCTTTCTCTCCGATAACTCTTTGAAAGTCAAGTGTGATAATCTCTCGGTATTTACAACTGAATGTAAATTTCGCCAAGTTAAAGGTCAAGTGCCTTTAAAAATACATTTTGTCTGACGTCAGTAGGCCGGGACTTATGGAAATTAACATAAAATGCTTCCTGTATTCTGTTAAACAGCATTTTTGATTATATATGTATTTATATTTTTATTTCACATTTAAATATAAATACATATGTATAAGGAATCACTGTCTAGTTTGTCCGGTATCCCAGGGACATTAACGACAGATGGAAACGTGGCTTCGCCCGTTATGCAAATTATCCCACGTTTCCAACTGTCATTAATGCACTTAATGCCCTAGTATACCCAACAAACTAGACAGTTCTTCCTTAAAACAATCGGTGTACGTAAGTCATGAAACATTTTAGTGTACATTTAACTATTGTCTTGCTAAATTTAATTTAATTTGAGTAAATAAATAAATTGATGAATTTAAATATTAGTGCAATATATATCTGTACGTGTAGCTTCCTATGGCATATTTGTCTTTGACTCAAGTTCACTGAGCTTTGAAATGTTAAAATCATATCCAAAAATGTGACTGGGTTATGACTTTGGACTCTTCAATTGGAATACTAAATTCATTTAAAAAAATGTTTTCCCATGTCCTAGATGATCGACAAATACCAACTTAATTTGTAAATTTATTCACAATGAATTCTACATATTTTACATTGTTTACATTGGCATTTTTCAAGGTCATGATTCATGATCCAATGACGAAATATTATTCCATTATCTACGCTATTTTCTGGAAACGTGTCAATGTCTTTTTTCCATTAAGATTACACAGTATGACTGACGTAATCTGGAATAAGGGAAATTGGAAACTGCTTATATTGACAGCTAGCAGAAGACATAAGATCTACTTAGCAGCAGGACACCTAGGGACTGGTGCAAAATTCTGCAACTTTTATTTGACACCAGATTATCCTTGTAAAACAACAAATGTTATTGAATACCTTGATAGCGGACCCATCTCTCTCTCTCTCTCTCTCTCTCTCTCTCTCTCTCTCTCTCTCTCGGGGGGGGGGGGTTACTCTCTGTCTCTGAAGTGGGTATCCATATATAAGTGGATTTCTTTGTGCTTTCTATATTAATATTTCTTCACTTACGGCAGTTATACACTGTATTAGTTTAAGAGTTGTTGTAAATTGTGCTTTATAAATAAAATTAATTCATTAACTATTGTCCAAATAACTGTATCTCACTTCCATTCTCAATGACTGTGTAGTGTAGGACAGCGCCACGAGAATCCCATCGGCATCGAAAGCAAGTTTTTTAACTTGCCTAGGTGGCCGAGCGGTCTAGCGCGCTGTTCCTGTACTGCTAGAAGACAGATTCCATAGGTCTAGAGTTCAACCCCGGATTGCTGAAGTGGGTATCTTTACAAAAGTGAATTTCTTAGTGCTTATATATATATATATATATATATATATATATATATATATATATATATATATATATATATATATATATATATATATATCATGTGACATTTTTAATCATCTACAAAAGCAGTAGCACTTAGAAGAGCAGATTACACTTCGGTACCAGCCAGCACACGTCTGAAGATATTACCTTGGACTGAGTTCCTTAGCTATGTGACAATAGAATTGTACTACTATCTATTTATTGGCTGTTGAGAAAATTATCTCGATTAAATATTAAGAAATAAAATCATTATCCAAAAAGGCCAGAATCGTTGATTTTTTGCCATTTTGATGCTCCATATCTATTGTCTTAATATATAGGACGCTGTTAAGTCGACGTTCTAAATGCGATTTGTTCAGTTTTTAAGGAACGAAGGCATAAGTGTGGGGGTGGAGTTAAGGGATGGTGGGGATATCGTAGATTTACATGCAGGGGATTCAAAAATCCCCTCAGATTTACGAAGTTTTATAGAAGGAGGAGAGGAAAACATAAGATCCGCCCAAAAGTAGGTTAAATTTATTATTCTTAATCTTTACCTTCAAATGTCTTCATTGTTTTTGCCTTGCTTTGACTTGTAATTTTTTTTTAAAAAAAAGATTTCTTTCCTACTGTAAGATATTTGTAAAATACGCATATATGTAGGTATTTTAATCGGTTCCATAACGTCCTTATTCAAACTACATTATTGGCAAAGTTCTGTAGCAGGAATATGACTCCAGAGTGTTCAGGTAAATCAATTTGGGAGGGGACACTCAATTACAATATTTTGATAAAAAAGTTTTTACCATTATAAACAGCTTAAGTCGCCTTGTCTGAGTTATACTTGTATATCTATCATATAAATTAATATGACATTATTTTTAATCTCAAATCCTAAATATTTTAGCTTGGTTGACAAAAGAAAATGTGTTCTTGCACGAGATTCTGTAAAGATAGTGGCACCGATTTCTAACCCAGAGAAGGTCCTGTGTGTTGGGATGAATTACCGGGATCACTGCGAGGAACAGAACGCCCCCGTCCCCGCGGAACCCGTGGTTTTCAATAAGTTTCCATCCAGTATCATAGGACCGACAGATAATTTAGAATATCCTAGAGAAACACAGGTATTTTCTGCAAATTATGTTGGCATAACACCAACAAATTTGATGTGTAAGAATTTTACATATTACTATAATGACATAAATGCCTTTTAATGACTTTTTTTTTATCAACAGAAACTAGACTGGGAAGCGGAACTAGCATTTGTTATCGGAAAAGAAGCCCGACATGTCAAGGTATTACATCCTATTATGCTGATTTGGCGAAGCTAAGACAATGGTTTAAAAACTTACTTGTTGTAGTAGATCAAGACTTTTGTGAACTGTTAGCTGCTTTATATCTAAATATCAGGTTCTACAGTAGCTTTAATATTAGCTCAAATTTAATTTTGAACTTTCTTTAAGAACATTTTCAATGCATTGTTTAACAACAAAGCTTTATGATAAACGTGATGATTCAATTTTTCAATCGTAAGCTTCCCTTACTTATGTAGCAATATACCCTTTTTCACCTGCATATGGGGTTTTTATCTCCCAGTTGATTCGATACGCAAGAGCATGCTATAGGTATGAACAATTTCTAAAACGAGGCAAGCTTTTGACAAACAAGTTGATGAAACAAGGATATCAACAGTCTTGTTTGAAGTCATCATTTCGCAAGTTGATTCGATATGCAAGAGCATGCTCTACGTATGAACAATTTCTAAAACGAGGCAAGCTTTTGACAAACAAGTTGATGAAACAAGGATATGAACAGTCTCGTTTGAAGTCATCATTTCGCAAGTTTTAAGGTCGATACAATGACCTTGTCATCAAATACAACCTATCATTGAGTCAAATGCTGACTAACGTTTTACATACTGATTGTTAGGCCATTATTTACACACTGAATTGTCTAAGGATTTTTTCGATCATGAGAAGGAGCACATGGTAGATGTGACTGGTCGGCAGGGGATGCTCACTCCTCCATGGCACCTCATCCCACCTGATATTTTTGAAACAGATCATAGGTAGCGCTCTGATGAAGACCCATAATAACATAAATGGCATAATGTGTTTAGCGTATACGCTTACCGCTTTAAATTTCTTCATTCAGTGATTAATTATTCATTTTTTTCAAGTGCGTATATAACTTTGTACAAATTGATTTTAATTTGTCTCTCGGCCAAAAAAGATTGCCTATACATCTATTCGTATAATGTAGTATTATGTAATAACAGAATTTGTTATTACATGTACTTTAATTTTTAATTGCCTGATTACCCCCCCCCTTTAATTCATGTCAAAATGTTCCTCCAGATAGTGAGATAAATTAATAGATGTTCTGTGAGCTTGAGAAACTTGGTGATAAAGGAAACATAGCCTACACGTGTAACAAGACATCCTTCTCGTGTTTATCATATTTAAAAATTAATGAAATTTTCACAGATTCAAGAAGACAATATCACCAAGTAATGACATCAATTACATTATATTTGCCCGTTTCATTAAAAGGTCAAGGTCATAATCTTTTCCGTGTCATTAAGAATCAGAAATTATTGTTGCCAATCATGTAATACTTATTTTTCCTTTAAAAGATTTAATCTTTTTCTTTTTACATAAAAAGTTAATACAACAAAAGGTCTACCAGATGATAATATCAAAAAGAAAGAAAAATATGATCTTTAAAATCCTTAACATCTAAATATAAAAGACTTGTAAGCAAATATACTTTGAGTATTTCATTTAATTAGTCAGAAACCAGAGAAGAATCCCTCCTTAAGAAATTGAATTCCTGCGAAAATAAGATAACGAAGTGCCATTTTTTTTTATTAATTAATATCAGGTAAATAACAAGGACAATCCTTTTCTTGTGGTCACTTAACTTATAATGTGTCAAAATAGGTATTTTCATTTACTGTGTGGGCGATTACTCAACTAAATTACGCCTTTAGTATCAAATAATGTCAATTTTCACGGATCCTTTCATAATTAGATCTGTACGTTGACTTTTTTATAGGAAAGTAGTGCTATGGAACATATCTTTGGTTTCACGGTAGCACTCGATGCTTCTGCCCGAGATTGGCAGATTGGAAAAAATGGCGGACAAGTGCTGCTTGGTAAAGCCATGGATGGGTTTTGTCCCTTGGGTCCCGCCATAGTTACAAAAGATGAAATAGGCGGTAAGCCTTTTCCTAGACTGTACCTACATTGTTAAACATGGTTAAAGGATTGTTTACGTATAAGGCACGTGTTGTCAAATGGTTAAATTCTGAAAATAAAGTTGCATGACATGTACATGTATATTTATTTTGGACATAAGGTCAATGTTTTGAGTCAGGTATATTTAATTTTTTTATGCGTAACCTCTGCCCAAAATGAATTTTTCCTTTGCTGCAAATCAAGAACCATATTTTTAAAATTTGCAATTAAAGAACTCCACCTTTTGTTTATGATGTATCAAAATGTATGAGAAAGCGTTTGATTCCTCGTTTTCGTAGAGTAAGGTATGTAAACTTTAATTTATAGCTTAATAATAAAATTTCATTTCATGTAACGAGACTGAGACTAATTTAAAACAAGAGGCCCAGGGGCCACATAGCTCACCTGAGCACTATGGCTAGAATAAAGCAGAAATCAGTTCAGTCTTGAAAGGTTGAAAAGTTTAAATATAAAAGTGGGGGAGTGGGGGGGGGGGGGTCATAAATTGAACAAATTTGAATCTACATAAGCTGAGGATGTTCCATTTAAATATGACCAATCATGGCTTTGCTTTTCTTGAGTAGAAGATTTTTAAAGATTTAACCTATGTATTCCTATGTAAAACTTTGATCACCCATTGTGGCCCCACCCGACCCCCAGGGGTCATGTTTGAACAAACTTGAATGTACACTATCTAAGAATGCTTCCATATGAATATGAATATGCATATCATGGCTTTGCTGTTCTTAAGAAATAGTTTTTTTTAAAAGATTTTTACTACGTGTTCCTAGGTAAAATTTTGATCACCCATTGTGGCCCCACCCTATCCCCGGGGGTCATGATTTGAACAAATTTGAATCTACACTATCTGAGGATGCTTCCTTGTAAATATGACCAATCATGGCTTTGCTGTTCTTGAGAAGAAGATTTTTAAAGATTTTCCCTATATATTCATATGTAAAACTTTGATCGCCCATTGTGGCCCCACCCGACCCCCGGGGGTCATGAGTTGAACAAATTTAAATGTACACTATCTGAGGATGCTTCCATGTAGATATGACCAATCATGGCTTTGCTGTTCTTGAGTAGAAGATTTTTAAAGATTTTTCCTATATATTCCTATGTAAAACTTTGATTGCCCATTGTGGCCCCACCCTACCCCTGGGGGTCATGATTTGAACAAACTTGAATTTACACTATCTGAGGATGCTACCATATAAATATGACCAATCATGGCTTTGCTGTTCTTGAGAAGAAGATTTATAAAGATTTTTCCTATATATTCCTATGTAAAACTTTGATTGCCCATTGTGGCCCCACCCTACCCCTGGGGGTCATGATTTGAACAAACTTGAATCTACACTACCAGAGGATGCTACCATATAAATATGACTAATCATGGCTTTGCTGTTCTTGAGAAGAAGATTTTTAAAGATTTTTTCCTATATATTCCTATGTAAAACTTTGATCGCCCATTGTGGCCCCACCCGACCCCCGGGGGTCATGATTTAAACAAACTTGAATCTACACTATCTGAGGATGCTTCCTTGTAAATATGACCAATCATGGCTTTGCTGTTCTTGAGAAGAAGATTTTTAAAGATGTTTCCTATATATTCCTATGTAAAACTTTGATCGCCCATTGTGGCCCCACCCGAGCCCCGGGGGTCACGATTTGAATAAACTTGAATCTACACTATCTGAGGATGCTACCATGTAAATATGACCAATCATGGCTTTGCTGTTCTTGAGAAGAAGATTTTTAAAGATTTTTCCTATATATTCATATGTAAATCTTTGATCGCCCATTGTGGCCCCACCCGACCCCCAGGGGTCATGATTTGAACAAACTTGAATCTACACTACCTGAGGATGCATCCTCATAAGTTTCATATTTTCAAGCACAGTGGTTCCTGAGAAGAAAATTTTTTAATGATGCCATTAATTTTTCACAAATTCTTAATTATCTCCCCTTGGAAGAAGGCGTGGCCCTTCATTTGAACAAACTTGAATCCCCTTTACCCAAGGATACTTTGTGGCAAGTTTGGTTGAAATTGGCTCAGTGGTTCTTGAGAAGAAGATGAAAATGTGAAAAGTTTACAACAACAACGACGACAGACAACAGACAAATTTTGATCAGAAAAGCTCACTTGAGCCTTTGGCTCAGGTGAGCTAAAAACGCGTTGATTTGGCAGAAAACTTATTATGTACGCAAAAAGTGATCTAAGGTGCTAATGACTGATACAGGTGATGAACACGAGAGTTACTAATGATTGAATGATACCAACCAATCAAATCAAAAGTTCCCTCTGCCTCCCTTATTGGGTAAGCAAATGAAAGTTACTTTTGTAAAAACAAGTTCCGTGATTTCGCTATTCTTGGTTAATTACAGATCCTCATAATCTTGGGATAAGATGCAAAGTAAACGGAATAATCAAACAGAATAGCAACACAAATCAACTTGTACACAAGTCAGCTGCAATAATCGCACATATTTCAAGGTACCGACAAATATTCTCCAATATTCTCAGGAACAACTAGAGGAAAGTTTCTGAAATGGTTAATTTAATATAAGTTGTGTTGTAAGTGATAAAAATTCGGCGTCATTTTTGGTCTTGTAAAATATGTTACATTTATGCAATTTTAAAACAAATTTACTACCTAAAATAAGCATCAAAGAAAAAAGTTTCTCCTTGATACCCTGGTATTTCCCTGTATTTTAGGATTAAAAGCAAGATTACCGAATAAGTAGCTGATAAGGTATCATAAACATAAACTGAAGTGTACATGTATATATACCAGTTTATATGTCTCAATTAAGATTCATCACGCTGAAGCCTGGAGATGTTGTGTTGACAGGAACGCCCCCTGGTGTGGGTTTTACTAGAAATCCCCCAGAATTCCTAAAGGTCAGAACCTACGTCTTACAATGTACAAAAAAAAAAAACACTTATAGCGAAGTGCCAGGAACGGACGATTTTGCTTCGTTCTAACGTAATTTGTTATATATCCATTAAGTTCACAATATATTTTAAAGTCACGGTTCGCTATAAGCGTCAATTCATTATATGCGTGTTCGCTTTAAACGTGTTTTACTGTAATCATTAATCAAGAATAATCACCACGATTTTACAGCATTTAGAATATTTAGCTTGTATAAGCTCCAATCAAAAAATCTCTTAGCTGCAACAAACGAATCTCATTTCCATGGATTTTCAATTAAATAAATGATAGCTTTTGGTCAGTCAGTTTAATGATACTTACATCTGATTGAATGCTTTCAGTTGCTACTGGATTTAAATAATCAAATAATCCTCAATGTTATTTGTACCAGATATAAAATGCAACCCCCCCCCTTCTCTTTATATACCGGTAGGAAGAACTTTACATTCTTTGGTGAGATTGTTGCCGCGAAGCCAGTGTTGGAGCTAAACTACTGGTCCAAAATATTATTAAATGTTGAAAAATTCGTTTGAGATGACAAGGCAATGGGTATGGCATAATTCATATAGGAACATGCTTATTCAGAAAATTTGCCCCCCCCCCCCCCCCGCTTAAGGAAAAAAAGAGAGGAAAAATGAAAAAAAAAAATATGCAGATGAAGAAATAATAAAGGTCAACGCTGACCTTTCATCTTTTGACCTTAAAGTCAATAGGGTCTTTTTTAGGTTAAAGAAATTTATTACTTTGAGTTTCATTACAAAACCTTACAGAGAACTTAAGTTATCATCTGATCTATGTGTGCAATATTTAAATTTCTTACCTTGGTCTTTGACCTCAAAATCAATAAGAGTCTTTTTACGTCATATGGACTAAAGGTACAAAATTTGATTGCAAAAGCTCAAAGAGAACTCGATTTATCATCAGGAAACCATTCTATGCAAGACATCAATTTTTCAATTTGACCTTTTGACCTAAGAATCAAAAGGGTCTTCTGAAAGTCAACAGGAGTTATAATATTTCATAGCTGCAGAACTGTAGCTCTCCGAAAAAAAAATTGACAGACCGGAGAGCTACAGTGCCACGCATAGAAAAAAAACTGTATATTTATTGCGCACGAAAAAGTGCGCTGTTTCTCGATTTATTTCTCCGCATTTTTAATCTGCGATTTCTAAATATTACTGACCGCGTGTTCCTAACACATTTTTGCACTATTCCCACATCAAAACATTTCCTGTAACCGTTGTTAATAGCCCTCCTGGGCCTGAAATTAAGACCATCCACAATTTCGCTTGTTATTACGGCCATTTTGGATGGCTAGACAATTCGGCCAAAGCGCTTCGTAAAGATGTCAACTGCAAGAGTAGTTGACAGAGGTCTAAGGAATCTTTTGAAATCGAGCTTTTTTGCAGTTGAGTTAAGAATTTGGAGAAATAAATCCAGAACCGAGCGCAACTTTTTGTGCGCAATAAATATACAGTTTTTTCTATGGGTAGCACTGTAGGTCTCCGGTCTGTCAATTTTTTTTTTCCGGAGAGCTACAGTTCTGCAGCTAAATATTTCATTGAAAAAGCTCAAGGAAAGTTATTACCTAGAAGCCTTTTTTTTTGCATTGTACGAATTTTGACCTTTTGAACTCAAAATCAATAGTGGTCTTTTTAAGGCCATATGGAGTTATAATAAAAAATTCTATTGAAAGAAGCTAAAGAAAACCCAATCATCTGGAAATTGTTATTTGTAATGTATGTATTTTTGAACTTGACCTTTTAACTTTTGATTTCAAAAAAAAAAAAAAAAAAAAAAAAAAAAAATAGAGGTCTTTTTTAGGCCATTAGAAGTTGTAATATAAAGTTTCGTTGCAAAATCTCAATGGCTTCTAAGATATTGTCCCGAAGCAAAAGTGTTTAACAAGAAGAGAGTGTATGAAGTTATGACCTTGACTTTTGACCTAAAAATCAATAGAAGTCTTCTTTAGGCCATAGGAAGTTGTGATATTAAATTTTATTGAAAAAAGCTCAATGAAAACTAAGTTATCATCTGGAAACTGTTATTTGCAATGTATTGATTTCTGACCTTTACCTTGGATCTTTTGATGTCAAAATCAATAGAGGTCTTCTTTAAGCCATTAAGAGTTGTGGTATACACAATTTTAGTTCAAAATCTCAAAGGTTCTTAAGATATTACCCAGAAACGAAAGTGTTACACACAGACAGAATGTATCAATTTATGACTTTGACGTTTTTACCTCAAAATCAATAGGGGTCTTTTTTAGGCCATAGAACGTTATGATATAAATTTTCATTGCAAAAGCTATCGTCTGGAAACAGACAGTATGACATACAGACAGACGGACGGAAAGACAAACCAAAATCTATATCCCCCTCTTTCCATGAAAGCGAGGGACAAAAGGGGAAAAACTGAGGCAAAGTTTTACCCGTCTTCTCAGACAATATAGTTGTTTTCGGATATGAAAGGGACAACTCAGTCCTGTTTGTATTGGTGTGTTTGTATTCTAACGTGTTTTGGAAAGTAATATGTTTCAAAATAGTTGTACTAATCTCTTTAACGACCAGATTAGGCAAATGCTTTCTCCACAAAATTAATCACCTTCGTCAAGCATCATCTTTACCTACTTAGTGAAAATGTAAAACAAAGAAAGATCATCCTTATGTAATTTCTATATTTAATTTTTTTTTCATTTATTATCAAACTTAATTCGTCATTGTTAATATCATTATAGTTTGAGGTTATATTAACAAGACAGTTCATGTAAATTAATGACCTTAACACTCTGATAACAATTTTGCAGAGAGGCGATATTGTGCAATGTGATATTGATGGTATTGGGAACATATCCAACAGAGTGGTATGAGTTGATCCTACCCAGCTGTGTTACAAATGAAGATCTGCGTCGAATTGTCCTCATTATACTGCTTAATAAATATTTATTGCCTGATCACCTGTTTGTTTTGCTCTTAAACTATTCGAGGATCTATTTTGGATCCCCTCCCCAGCCTTTGTTTATAGAAAAATACTAGGACCTGATTACGTTTTATTAACACTCGAGGTACATGTATCAGCAGAAAATCAGTAGACCAAAACAGAAATGCCGTCGCTTTGTTTCTTCATGCAGAAAAAAACGTTTTTCATGTGACTCTCGTTTTGTGTTCTTGTATGTTGTGGTAATAATGAACTTTTACTTTAGGAAATATCGTTTGATTTCGGGATAGTTTTGTAAAAGTATGGGGTATAAATATTATTTTGAAAAACAAACCACATCTGGAAAATTTCAGTTAGAAATGGCATCGAAATATATTTATAAAAAAAGAAACTCTAAGAATTATTTAAAGAGGACAGGGGTGTACTGTTAGTTCCTATACGATAACTTAATGTATTTTACTATATGGTTTACTCGTACATCTCAGCTGCTGGGATGAACGTAACCATCTGCATCATATAGACTATGACTTCATATTGATTTTAATTCAACTTTCAGGTTAGAATGATGAGCTACATGTTTTGTCTTTTACAATCTGTAAAAAATTCCAAAGTTGTCGTGAATCTCTCTTCTCTGCAATGTCTTGATTAGATTGGCTCAAAACATTAATGCTTTAGTTTGTAATGCTGATATGAACAATCAATATAATTTGATATAAATTGGCAAAATCATGGCCTTAAAGTCTAATGGCCATAATTACTACTGATACTTCTTTAACATAAAGAGAAATGTGACTCCTCAGTTGAGCAGCCTGACTCGTATGCATGTTGTTCAGTTATTTAAACATATTCACTATGTAGTTGATTTCAAGTTCTGCATATCTTTGGATTGGCTCTGTCATACTTATTGATGGGCTGCAAGAAATTACTCTTCACCATATATGTGGCGGATTTATGTCCAAGCCAATTTTTCAGAATAATATTGACAGCTGACTCGTCATAACGATGACAATCAGCATACTCCCGTCCTGTCACATCAAACCTGCACTTAGATGCAGCCCCAGGAGGACTCAGGCACTGTTCCTCAACTGCACACGCCGTTAGAAGCTTCATAAAGTTGTTCATCACTTCATCTGTATTATGAATTATCATTGCCCTCATCTCAATATGTGGAGACTTGAATAACTCTCTCCTATCCACTGTTAAATATTTGTACATTTTGGGGTGTGTCACAGCAAATGTAGAGTAATCTGCGTTTTGTCCTATGACTAAGATCCCAGGCTCTTCAGATTTGTGCACGAGATCATTGAACGCCATGGAACTAACTTTGAATCCCGGATTTATCCATGTTATGTGTCCAAATTCCGCTAAGGCTGTCTGAAAATGTTTTTTTTTAAAAGACATTTGATCAAAGCAATCTTAAATCATTCGAAAAAGGAGTGGTTTGCCCTTAAAATTTTTACTCTTGTTATCAATTAGTTACTAATCAAGAAGTAAAATATCAATAATATTACAGAAATGTACAGGGTAGTTTATCATTACATATAAAGTAAATCGATATTTAGATCTTCATTAACGCTTAGTCTAATACACTCTCTTTTACAATATGTTTATGGGGGAAATGTGCATCTGCTTGTAAGTAACCTAAGTATTTTTTATGATATTAGAAAATATATAAATACTTATCAGATTGAAGAGACATTATTACCTGGATAATTAATGGTCTCCAGTAAAAATTCGATAAGTCATGGATAAAGCTGGGGAAAAGATTCAACCAGAAACCGCGCATGCGCACATTGCAGAATGAGGACAACTGTAACAAATCAATTGAAAAGAAACTATATATATAAACTAATATTCGTATAAAAATATCGCATATTTGTTCTTTTATTTGTTTAACAGTTAACGAGGTAAGATTTTTCTCGCACACCTAAACGAGAAGCAAAATTATTGTATGGTACCTGGGCCGTACAACTGCGTAAAAGAAAGCATTTCATTAGGTAATTTACATAAAGTAAGGGACACCTGAAGCAAGACTTCTATATTGCAACTTTTACAAAGAGTTGATGTGACGATGATAAAAAAAATCTGGTTCAAACTTAAGCTCTGGCTCAAATAAAAAGTTTACATTTTTGTCAATAACTGGATAAACTGTCAAGAATACATGTATTCTCAGTGACAGTAATAGTAATGAAGTAGTAAATGCGACAGACATTTGTATGCCTTATTTCTTATTTTACAAAACGCGCTAAAAGATTAGTACTTTTCATATAATGTTCTAAATTTAATCATTTAACCAACACATGAAAAAGGTGAAGATAAAGAACAGTGATCAAACTAAAAATTCCAGACGGAATACAAATCGTGAACAGTGCATAAACACAGACCCCTGAAAACAACAGAGGTGGGATCAGGTGCCTGGAAGGAGTAAGCATCCCCTATCGACAGATCACACCCGCTGTGAGCCCTCTCGTAGTCAGTCGTAGGCAAACGGTATAAAAAACCATGGCCTAACAATTGGTGTGAAACACGTCAGTTATAGTACGACTCAAAAATATGTTTTTCATTCAAACAAAGTCATTATAATGACCATAGAATTGTCAAACGCTACCTTTAAACGAGGTAGTTGAAAACCCTGTAACATCAAATTAAATGTCAGCAGCCTGTCTCGGTTTAAAAATTGACCCTATACTCAGAACATGCTCTTGAGTATCGATATGCAGTTGACTGTGGAATATTACTACATTAAAAGGGGATATTGAAGCCATCCCGATTGTCATGTATATTGTTTAGTTGTTAGTTAGACATTAACGTCTATAATCAGCTGTAAAATATCCAAGTATGAGATACATGTGGCAGTTTCTATTGTGTCTTTTATTTTGAGTTCACTGGAATACAAGTATATCGAGTTGAAATCTGAATGAAAATGATTATTGTTGATTAATAAACCGTCGTCGATATATCGAAATGTGGACCACAGCAAGACTTTCATTTATTCTCTGGTGGAAATTTTTGAATAAATTCTACTTTATAAGAATTAATATAAAAACAGGTGAAGTTAATGTGCATTCAATTATACAGTTTGGCATCCTACAAAAAGAAAGTAGAATTTACAGAACACGTAGACGTATGAGTGCTAGGAATGATTCCATGATATGCAGAGACCAGGATAAGTAACATTTTCCTGACCAATTGCAAAACAATATCTTGTGTACAAATTAAAAAAAAAACACTAGTAACTCAACAAACTTTATATAATAACAAATTCTTTAAGTTTAACTGAAAGAATATTATTCTTCTATTTATTACCTTCTAGAATATGCGAAAATATCTACTTACTGCCTTTATTATTATATTCTTTTACCTTTAATCGTTGGTCATCATTAAGATCCAGATCAAACACATAAATATCCTCCTTTGGATAAAAGTACTGAATGGAGGTTACGAGATGTTCAATCTGGCTCAATGTCTGCTGCGAGACAGCGGTGACGAGGGCGGGAATGTCGTGAGTGTGATGTCCCTCAGACAGAACAAAACTCTGAATATTACTGTTCACTACTTGGGCTATCTGTTCAGCTTTTTGATGGAATTCCTGTTGTACTTCCGGGTCTTTCTGGATTGGTTTTTCCGGATCTTTATAGTCTTCCACTGGCATTTGGTCCAATTTTTGGGAATCCTGATTGTCGTCCATTAATTTTGCTATCTGGTTCTCTATTTCCATTTCTTTTTTTAAATCTTTCCTCTCATTGTCATTCCTAGGGTTGAATTTCTTATCTACAATGTTGTCTTTGATTTGCTTGTTAAGATGGTAACTATCGGGAGGCTGTTTTCCCACTTTCTCTGTTGGTTTGTTTTGCTTTTTCATATGTTCATCAGTTTTTACTATATTGTGTTTATCCGAGTCTTTTTCAATTTTTACACTTACAGTATTCTTTGTCCTATGACTGTCAAAAACTTGCTTTGCATGATCACCTAATTTCTCTCTGACCTTTGACTCTTGCTCTAATTCTTCAATAAATGGATTTTTCTCGTCTTCCCAATCATTGTTACTGGGGGCTTCACTATTTACAATGTCGTCAGGAGAGATATCGATTATGTCTCCCTGTGAGTTCGGCTGAAAAATATATTACAAAAAGAGTAAATATTAAGGTTTTGAAAATAGTTTTTCCAAAATTATTCATTTATTACTTTCAGGAAATTCTATTACTCATGTATACTTTCAATAAAGTCTGTCCATTATGTTTATCAGTGTTTTGTCCTGATATTATATACTGGATTAATGTGATAATATACACAGAAACAGAACATGAATTTTGTCATATTCTAAATTTTGTGTTCTCACTCATTCTGTATGTGCAAAACCGATGGACACTGTTCAGCACGCAGGGTGGTAGGGGGTTGTTGTAAGGTCGCTCACTGGCAAATTCCAGGATTTGGACATTGTATGAGTTTTTTTCTTATCAGATTATTTTGGGAAGCCCCCCCCCCCCCTTGAAACCGTTGCTATACGGGCCTGCTTTTACATGAATAAAAAGGGAACATTTCCTTAATTTGCAGTTTTTAGAGAATAGAAAGACATTAGCATTTTGCAACTTACCTGAAAAAACTTTGACAAGCAAAAAAAAAAAAGAAGAAAAGAAAACTTGTCAAGCTCTAAAATCCTATTTCATGGAAGGGGGGGGGGTTCCAACTTCTTTTATGACCAGTTTTTATTCATACAGTAAAACATTACCGTGTTTTGACTATACTGCAACAAAAAGTGTGGGGGGAGGGGGGGGGGGGGAGGAACAAGCCTTATAATGAATATTTTCAACGGTAAAAGGTAATGTTTGGAAAAAAAGTGGGGGAAGTGGGCTGCCCCCCCCCCCCCCGATACTACGTGTCTGTAATAGATATAAACTATATAACTTTGTAATAGACATGCATCTTTGTAATAGATAAGTACTATTGTGATAGACATAAATGTACCTTTGTAATAGACACGTTTCTTTTTAATAGATAGACACATATCATTGTATTACATAGACAAGTACCTTTTTGATAGAGACGTACCATTGTAATAGTCATACCTTTGTAAGAAACCTGTATCCAGCATGTAGGATAAACCCCAACATAATTAAAATAATGTATTTCACGGCTTTCATAGATTTAAGTTTCTTCATAGGGACATGTTTTGTGAGATCTGCCGCACCACCTAGTTCTAGACTGGAACCACTGTACTCCTTGGCTTTCCGCCGAATCATAATCAAATCAAATCCAGATTTTTACATACTTTATTTTTACAAACTTACTGTTTCTTTTGAACGTGGCGACGTAATCAATGATTGGACATATACGTGGTACTGTGGAACAGATGTGAGTGACAAAAGAAGAAAAAACTTTAAAGGTGACATGTGTTCACGGGTAATCCATAATTTTCACGCATGCTACAATAATTCTTCATGTATTCGATGGAATATAATTGATAAGTTCCCTGTTTATAACTTACATAATTTTCTCAAGAGTTAAATATTTCTTGTAAATTATTATATTTTAATTTATAGGTCAATTTAACTCTTCGCACACTGATTTTTTTTTCAGTCGATACCACTCAGTTTTACAAATTAAGGTTATGAATTAAAAGAAAAGATTTTTCAACATGGAGAAGAATTGTAAAATAAGATGTTTTAATCCTTTTGTGTCATACAACAAAATATGTCTAAACAAAGCGATCATTTAAATCAATATAAGAGTAATACTTTCTTATTTATGCTATATAATCTTTGCGATGCAATAATAAATCTGTTAAAGTAACATATAGAAATATTTTAAAGCACGGGAGTATTTTTTCTCTTTTGATACAATCCCCTTGCATTTACAACGGCTTATCGGAAATTCTTCCTCGCTTCCGTGCTGCTCAGTTTCTTGCAAAACTTATGCGGAATATAATATGTGTTCTGTTGGAATTTGAAGATTATTTATTAGTAAGTTATGGAGGATATATCTGCTGAACTTTACTATGCTGTTTGTAAAAATGATCCCGTCAAAGTTGAGGAACTATTGAACAACGGAGCAAATGCAAACGAGTATTATTACGACATGGAAAATATCAGCTCCAGTTCCATTCTGCACGTCTGCTGTGGAAAGGGGCACCTTGAGTCCGCACGAATCTTGGTTGACAGAGGAGCGGACATTTTGTCGCGAGACAAATGGCGGATGTCGCCACTGATACACGCCATAATGCCACAGTTTTCAGAAATTGTGGAATTTCTTATCACACGTAATCCGGATGTAGTTAATATGTGTGATAAATATGGGAAAGCTCCTTTACATTATGCTATAGAGTCAGATTCTGTATCTATCGTAGATCTACTTATCCGTCATGGCGCTGATGTTAATGTAGGGACAATGAAAGGAATAACACCAATGATGTTGTTGTGTTCTACGTCAGATCTACAGAACGATATAGAGATGATGCGACTGCTGATCGATCATGGGGCTTTGGTCAACCTTCGAGACGTGGCCGCCAAACGCACCGCATTACAAGTATGGGGAGGAAAACACGAATTTGTATCGAGTAAAATGCTTTGATCATTTATTTACACATTTAGAAAATCGCAAAATTCGTTTCATAACATACGAAACTATAAAGTTTTCTTGTCCTGATTTCAAAATAATCTTTTGATACTCCATATTTTATTTATTTTCCAGTATGCCGCTCTTAAGTTGAAAATTATAGCCGTTCAGATTCTGTTGGACGTCGGCTCTGACACCAACACCCTTGATGGGGCAGGAAGGACACCAATGACAAATGTCATCCGACAATGTGTCCGATCCGACGGATCAATCCAAACGGACGACTGCATGTCAATCATCGTGATGTTACTTCAAGCCGGAAGTGACCTCAATATGACGACCTGTGAGGAATGCTGCCCATTAATGGTGGCGTCGCTTTTAAAGTGCGAGTTCTTGGTTCGATTTTTCTTAGAACATGGAGCTGATTCGGGTATTCGCTGTAAGTTATTGCTGTTTGAATCACTAAGTAACTCAATTTAAAAAAAAAAAAAGTGGACCCCTTCTCCAGTTACACAAATGACACCACTACATGACCCTGTTGATATGTCCGTCTTGATTCAGTACAATGGCCAACATATAAATTGGATTGAACTGGCTTTTTTTTTAATTTCATTGCCCAATGTTATGAATTTGAGACCGATTTAGGACGTGCACAAAGGCTTATTAAGCAATACCAAACTCAGCATAGAACTGATTTCTGATCCTGATCATTAATAAACGACTTTGAAAGAAAAAACATGGTCTTTAGTGAAGATCAATACATGAAATGCCTATATTGGTCATCGGCAATAACATACATGTATATATTTCTATTCATTCCAGTTAAAGATACGAGTTGTAGCCCGTGCATCATGGCTTTCTCTCATTATTTAATGACCATGACATGACTATAGGCCATATTTATGCATGTATTTGAAATTATTACAAATAGGGCCAATACGTTTTTTTTTTAAAATAAATGGACTATATCTCCTCCAGTTAGGTAAATGTAGAAATAATAATTAAAAAAAAAATAAGGGTAACTCTACTAAATTTTTTGCATTTAAAACCAACTTTTCTCTTCGCTTTAAAATAGAGGAATCTGAAGAAGACTTCATTCTTTTCTATTTTCAGTTGCTTCTGGGGTTTACCCACTTTTAGCAGCTGTTGGTAACCGTGACATTCCATCAATTAAAACTCTATTGGAGTACAACAGTCCCTTCTATCTTCAGGGAAGAGTGATAAAGCGTAGAGAAGAATTCTACTTTAATCCTTACGAACTGGCTGTACACCTTGGCTGTTTTGATGTCGTGGAACTTTTGTATGCATATGGTTTTAATTTATCAAAGTACCCCTACCTAGCCGACTCCTTTAATACTAAGGGTATCCCCCTTCCTCTTCAACAAAACCAAACAGTACTGACGTCATTACAGCAGATGGCCTCTGAACCACTTTCATTATTTAAGATTACGTCATTAGCTATTCGGACATATCTGAGGAAGGATCTACATAATAAAGTTGGAATGTTACCATTACCAACGTCTTTACAAAGAGATTTAATATATCTAGCAGGGTGACAACAGTTCAGTTTAATGATTTGGATTGTCAAATCTATATCCAGTCATGTAATTTGTATCTTGCTTAATATTTTCATCTTAATAAAATAATATTAAATATATGAAGTTTTTTAGTTTCGTTTTGTGCACATACAGTATGGGCGTATAGTATATATGGATAGTTTATTTATTATGATTGCTTGGAACAATCTAAATACTATATACTGTACATGTAATGGTATGATTCCAATCTTCACATCCACTCAGACAGTGTTGTTATGCATCTACAGAAAAATACACGTGCGTGTTCTTGGCTCTTCGACAAATGTATCTGCGATGTGTGTGGAACGTAAACAAAATAAAAATAGATTCCCTCACAAGTTCCCCCTATCTGTGAGAAAAATCATGATGGTTGTGTAAAGTTTGTAAATAAGGTAAGGAAAAGTCTCAGAAATTTTGAGGATAAGTAACACAAACAAAATATTGATGCATGGATTAATTGATACATATTTTTTGATTGATTTTGAATAGATATGGCACAGATAATAAATTCCTTAAATATAAAGAAATTATAAATATTCTTTGGTGTTCAAATTTAAGACTGTGTGCCATTTTCTGTATAAATCTACGGATTTTGCATTTTTTAATCATTGACATTATTACAAAATCTTACAAATTTCTACTCTGGCAAACACTATTCATGTTATCTATATGAACATATATCTACTAGACATTGCTGATTTCTGAAGAAAAAAAGTTTGTGTTATATATCCTTAAACAAAAATTAGGTACATAGGCTTATAAGCCTCCATCTTTCTTACTCTAATTTCACTGAAACTTTTACCGTTTTAGACATTCTTTAAAAATGTTTATGTTTGTTATAAATGATTAAAATTGGTATATCCCTGCTCCAAATATTAGAATATACGATGTATGAGTTTAAAAAACTACACTGAAAACTTGACATTTCTATTAATATATGGAACTAAAGACTTTCTCGGTTGGATACGCTTTGTTCGTGATTTTTTTTTTAAATCATTGAATAAATAATATCTTACCTAAAAATTGGATATATTTTTTTTAATTTGGTTTTATTTTTACAGTAAGATTTTCAATGATGACAGACGATATCGCAGCTGCCTTATACCATGCTGTGGACAAGAATGACGTAACAAAACTTCGTCATTTAATTCAGGAAGGTGCGGATCCTAATGAGAATTATAATGACAGTCCTGCGTTGTCTTTTACGATCCTCCACTTGTGTTGTGGAAAAGGACATTTAGAAGCCGCCAAAGTACTCGTGGAAGCTGGTGCAAATGTTCAATCGCGTGACGTATGGGCCATGACACCTTTCATCCATTGCATCATTTCTCAATATAAAGACGTAGTCGAATACTTGTTAACAGTTTGTCCTCAGCTAGTAAACCAACCGGACAAATTCGATAAGTCACCTCTTCATTTTGCGATAGAATCAGACAATGTGGACATTTTTGAATTGCTCATTAAGTGGGGAGCAGATATTAACAGAAGCACGATGTATGGTATAACGCCTCTTATGTTTGCATGTATAACACCAAAATTATCCAACAGAGAAGATATGGTTCGAATCCTTATAGAGGAAGGAGCCCTCGTGGATTTAAAAGATTTCCTAGATTACAGGACTGCACTTCAGGTACATAAATTATTAGAAAATAAAAACAAATTCCTCACACAATGAACGTTACAGCAATAATTTCTGTGCTTCTTTTTAAAACATATAATAAATTATATTTTTGGGGGATTCCAATCATTAGTAATGATAACCCACCACCGGCAATCCCCCCATTTACAATTATGATAGTAGTGTTTGATTTGGGGAATATTTACTTTGTTTCACCAAGTAACAGGATTTCCTTTTTATTTTAGTTTGCTGTAACAAAAAGACACACAGATATAGTGTCCGTATTGCTGTCTGCTGGTGCGGATTCTAATAGTTTAGACAAGGGTGGAAGTACGCCCCTCACAAATCTCATGGCTTCTTCAATCCGCGCCACGTGTCTGGATCCACCCGTAGGAGATGACGTCATGACAATTATTGTTCTTCTGCAGCAAAAGGGAGCCGAATTAAATACAAACAAATGCGAATACAGTAATCCACTCATGGTCTCAACTTTACTGAAGTCTGCCACACTCGTAGAATATTTCCTGGGTTGCGGAGCAAATCCAAATGTTAAATGTAAGCAAAATTGTTTTAGATTTTTTAAAATGTTACTTCAGTAATTTCACAAATAGCAGGTTATTCGTCGTTGTTGATGTTAGTATTCTTGCTCTGTTTTTTTTCCAATGATTTTTTTTTTTTGGATAACATATAAGAATTATAAATCTCTTTCAGTTGTTTCTGGAATATCACCTTTATTGGCTGCTGTGGGTAACAGAGACTTAAACACAACACGCCTCTTGTTGAGACATAATGCAGACGTGAGTGCAAAAGCCATGGTATGCCGGAGAAGACAGGAAGAACGTCTGTTTGACCCGTTTGAGTTAGCTGTCGATCTTTTGCAGTGGGACATTGTGGATATATTGATTCATTATGGATATAGTCTCTCTCAGCACAAATACTTACAAGATTCCCTTTACTCAGAAACAGCGCCCGAATCCCTCCGCGACCACCTCTCTGTTTTGACTAAACTGCAAACACTGGCGAGTTCGCCTTTCTCTCTCCAGAAAATTGTCGTTTTGAAAATTAGACGTATCTTGAAATATGAGATATCTGAAAAGGTGAAAGATCTTCCATTGCCTGCTTCTTTAAAAATGGCATTATTATTTTTGGAAAATTTGTGACATTTTTCTCAATCTCTCAAATTCTTTTTATGTCAGTTATTCAATTTCTGGATACGCTCATATCTTATTGATAAAATAACTTGCTTACAATCCTGATTATAATTCATTATTCGGGTATTAAATGTGTGGACATCAACAATCATGAATAATTGTAGAATTCGAGAAAATACCCACCCACCCCACAATCCCCACCCAATATGCCACTAGTGAGAAAAACTGGAGCAGTTGCAGTCCATGAAAAAATACATGATTCAATCATTGTATATGTTTTTGTAATGTTATGCTCTTTTTCTAATTTAAAATAATGCTTTCATATGATTAAAACGCTTATTCTTAGGCATGCGCAAAGCTTGACTGCGTGTTCTTCAGTGAAAACGTAATATAATTGTAATACCCTCAATACTTACAAGTAAAAAATATACTGCATTTATGTTACACACAAATGTTATCTTACACATGTAATTTCAGTTTTGAACAGCATAAACATTGAGTTTCAAGGGAACATGAATTTTCTTGAATATACATACGATACAATTATCGTCGAATATAGATAAATAGAGTCCGATTGTACAGTGCATGTCTATGTTATTTTTTTTTCAGGCGAATTTCACGTCATTTCCAAACATGTACGTGAAAGTATTAATTTGAGGCAATATGTAGCAAGTTTGAATTAAGGTTCATCGATACTCTGATAAGAAAGATAACTCTTAATGACATAAATGTCTATAATTCCTTTATAATCTTGTCGAAGTGTCTTTTTGTCTAATTTTCTCCCGCAAGCAATGCTATAATTGTTTGTATTTTACTTAAAAAATACATTTCTTTTGGAAAGTCATAGCAGTTAAAGAAACATTTTATATGAGTGAGAAGAGGGTTTATGAACCTTAACATTGCTGTATATGTATAATTGTATCATGCATTTATCAAAATAATGAAATAAAACTATCAAACTATTTTTTTCCGGTTTCTTATCGATGACATTTTGAGAGTAAAAAAAAACAGTAATTTGAATTTGTTTGAATTCATAAAGTTGTTTAAATCTTATTCATATTTTCCACTTCAAAAGGGAAAAAATATGATTTTTTTCTATAGAGCTTGCATTCATATATATATATATATATATATATATATATATATATATATATATATATATATATATATATATATATATATATATATATATATATATACGTTGGGCATGTGTTTCTATCTTTCTACAATGTGTGTCAGGTATACATGTATTTTCAATGTGCTGCTCTATACATTACTCATACACTCATACATACGGCTTTGGTGTTCAATAGTATACTATGTTTATAAAAATGCTCTCTGCATCAAACAGACCCGATAAGTACTACCAAAATAATAAGAAACCTGGCTAACTTTCAATACATTCCTCTCTTGATTGTCCTTCATTGTTCGTATTTTTACAATTGATTGTTTAGCCTAGCTTATGCTAATTTTTTTCATAATGAGGGGGTATCCAGTATGCAACATTTACACCAGATCCTCCTTAAAATCCAACTGATTCTTCTTTACCCCATGATACTTTTTGACCGGAAATATTAATCTTCATCAACTTCGATATCAGAAGAGCATCCCAACATTGGTAAACGTTTATATTAACCTCCCTGATGTTAAATCAATTTTGACATTAAACCAAACTTTTTATTTACCAATTCCCATTTCAAGAAACGCAGAATAAAATTGCGTATGTTTCAGAACAAAATTCCGATCATATTGTTTTCATTACTACTCGCGTTGATAAGAAACACCTGTTTCTATCTTTCTCTGTTGGATTGTAAACAATGTGTGTCAGGTATATGTATTTTCAATTATTTATTTATTATAACCTAAAGTAGGGTATTATGTATGAAATAAGTTTAATGAATTTGACATATTTGCCTTGGCGGTCCAGAATATTAATGCATTTCTGTTCAACTTTTTCGAGGGGCGGCACATACATGTACACCTTTATTTATACCTATTTAATGACAAATTTGTTTTACCAATAGTTGCGAAGATGTTGATACATGTAGTACCGGATACATTTTTTAAAGTTAAAAATAAATAAAAACCTGAAATACAAGATAGCAACAACATAGAGATAAAAATATCCAAGAAATTTTCAGCTTTTTATTAAAATCAAAAATACTAATTTTAATCATTTTTGTAATTTTTCTGAGAAATGCTATATTTACATACCATAGGTGAAAATAATGGAAGAGGACATAACTGCTGCGTTATATCACGCCGTGGATAATAATGACTTAATAAAGCTCAGACACTTATTACAAGACGGTGCTAATCCTAATGAAAGATACACCGGAACTCCGTACGTTTCTTTCACAATTCTTCATTTGAGTTGTGAAAAAGGAAATTTGCATACCACTCGAGCACTCGTTGAAGCTGGAGCGGACGTGTTATCACGTGACACATGGGGGATGTCACCTTTGATCCACAGTATCATTTGCCAACAGGAAGATGTCGTGGAATATTTGATATCAGAATGTCCGTCTTCCTTGAATTTCCCGGATAAATCCGGCAAGTCACCACTTCATTTTGCTATAGAGTCAGATAATGTGGCTATTTTGAATTTATTGATAAGATGCAATGCCGATATTAATAAGGAGACAGTACAAGGTGTGACTCCATTGATTTCTGTTTGTCAGATACCAAAGCTGACAAAAAGAGAGACTATAGCTAAAATTCTTATTAAACAAGGTGCTGTTGTAGATTCCAAAGATGCATTAGATTACAGAACGGCACTTCAGGTATAAATTCCTGCTTCAATATATGAGGTATATCAAAATGTACAATTGACAGATTTTGAATAACTCAGTAAGTGAATTAGGCAGTAGGCAATACTTAGGTGATGAAGGCAAATCTTAACTTCTTTTAAAATATATAGATGTATATATGCCTTTTATTTTTTCTTATTATTATTGAGCAGAATCAATAATTTGAGCATACTGAAATATATCTTATCCGTGTTCAGTGGTATTTCTGAGTATGGCTTTAAAGTCTTGATTTTATTGACCAATGTTCCACAACATGCAGGTTATATTTTGGCGTTTCCAAACACAGCTGATAAATTAAATTGAAGAAAGTAGCGTTTGTCACATCATTTTTCCCTTTTCAGATTTCATTGACAAAGCGGCATTTGGACGTTGTACCCCTGTTGTTGAGGGCTGGAGCAGATGTCAATACGGAAGATAAAGGTGGCCATACACCGTTAACTAATTTAATTTCGTCATCGGTTCGTCCCTCCTGTGACGTGATTGGCGATGACGTTATAGAAGTCATGACACTCTTAATCCAAATGGGTGCTAACCTGAATTCGAATAAGTGCGAGAACAGTAACCCTCTCTTGGTTTCTACTTTGCTGAAATCTGCTAAATTTGTGGAGTATTTTCTTGCTTGTGGGGCAGATCCTAACATTGAGTGTAATTTTGTAATTTTTTAATTTATTCAAATGTCCTATACACATTTTTTGATATTTATTATGCAGAATTTGTACATGACAATCAATTGCCATATACAAATTTTGCATAAGAAACCGGAAATTAGCTTTCGAAGCAGGGATTAGTTCACTTACAGTGCAACTATTGCAATCAAAGCGATTTGTAGGGAATTGTTCACATCTAACAATTTAATTTTACATAGGAAAAAATCAGTAGAGGTATAATAAGAAAATGTAATCGAATGACTTCTTTAAAAGATACAGAAGGTATAAGTGTTAGGTTTTCTAAGTGGGAGAACGGACTAAATTGATGTGCAGTAAATGTTGGATATAGATGTAATTCTATAACACATATAAATAGATAAAATGTATTTTTGGGGTACGCGGCTATGATAAGGCTGTCCGAAGAATGTCACAATGTACCGGCCGTAGTTACTTCTCTGAACTACCTAGATATGACGTCATAATGGCATATGACGTCAAGTCACTGCAAATTTGAGCAGACATGATGGGGAAAGTGTCATAACTTTTACATTCCTTTCACATCACATGTAGAATTTTTTACGTTGATGTTTAATTCATGTGTCTGGATTGTTGTTTTAAGACTGTTATGATGGTGAATATTTGCAGTAGAATATCGTTATTACTTTTTCTTGTCTAACATGTACGTATTCAAACAATTACAAAAAGAAGAATGTGAAATGCTCCCCTTTACAGGTCCGTAGACAGAGTAAGAATTTATGAATCTTATGTATATTAGACTGGCACAAGTGTATAATAAGGATTAATTGAAGATATTCTGTGTGAATCTACTATGGAAATATGTCCTCTAACTGAATTTTGCTGGGGGATTGTATGTCATTTATCCTATTTTGTATAAATTGTGATGAAGAGTTGAAAATGACCCCTTGTATATGGGTAAGTTGAATTTCTCGTGCAATATTTTCTTAAGAAATAAAATTCAGACTTGCCCCCAGCGCTTTATATATACCCAAGAATACGTTTAATTAATTTGTGTAACAAGCCGTTCACAATAATTTTGTTTTTCACTTGTGCCGATGCGATTTTTGTGCAACATTTAAGAAAATTTGTGTGTCCGTCACGTGATCAACACAGTCATGTGACATCACAAAAATGCGTTTCTATAATATCTTATTCAACCCTCTTTACAATTTAACTGTGTATGTATACATAGATTAAAAATTGAAATCAAAACATAGTTCAATATAAAATAGTATATATCTAATGCATATAAAGCCTTCGGACAGCCTTAACATAGCTGCGTATGTTTACCCAAGATTTTTCCCCGTCCACTTGGAGTAAAATATAAATCGTATATGATCGACAAGAATCCTTGTTCTGAAATTTTGGTTGGCATGTTACATGTGTATATCCCTGACCTTCCATGATCTGAAATAGTGTGTAACCAAACTATTACAAGGTAAATTTACATGTAGATTATCCAAGCTATCTAGAGAAGGGTGGATATGAACTAAAATATTACGAATAATATCGAATTTTCAAATTTTATTTCGTTGGGTGAGAGTTGACCTTCTTTCTTTACAAGATCTGTAGGATTTTTCTAGAGCGATCGAGGATCCAAAGTCATCAGGCATTCTTATAGCATTGGATACAATGTAGATTACTGTACAGTACTGTGTAAATGGGACATGAAAACCCTATGCTGTGATTCAGTTCTCCATATATATTTCTCTCCCTGGATTTTCCCTCATGATCAGATAATTACAACATGTTACATGTATAGGTAATATTTTCTCGTTATTCTAAAAATATCATTTTTTTTCTTTTACAGTCTCGTCTGGTATTACCCCATTGATTGCTGCAACTGGAAACAGAGATCAGAATACGGTACGACTGCTGTTGGAACACAACGCTAAAGTTGACCCTCCGGCCTTGGTTTCCTACGGGAGACGAGAGAGGCGTCTATATGACCCCTTTGAATTAGCTGTTGATCTCTTACAGTGGGATATTGTGGATTTACTGGTACAATATGGATATAATCTCTCTCAGCATGATTACATGCTAAGTATGACTCCGTCCGACAGAACACCCGTGGCCCTCCTCAATAATCCTGATACACATGACCGTTTACGGAGAATTGCATGTTCTCCGCCTTCATTGGAGAAAATCGTCATTTTAAATGTGAGAAAGATTCTTGGTTTAAATCTTCTGCAAAAAGTTCAAAAGCTAGTGTTACCTTATGATGTGAGAAATAAACTTGTGAACCTTTAGAGCATTTGATCGTCTTTTCTCTGGTGTTCTAGAAAGGAAGATTGTATTTCCTTATCTGTATCTATTATTCTAAGTGTTATGCAATGGTCTGTTTTCTCTAATCAAAAGCAAGATAATCTCATCCCGTAAATTTATAACCAAATTGAATGAATATAAAAATTTTGGGTATTTAATGAAAAGTGTTGAAATTTTTTACTTGCAGGGTAATTTAGGTTTTGTAAACCTGGAACATTTTGACGTTGCTTCTGCTTCGTCTTCTTCAAAGAAATAATTCAAATAATATTAATACTAATATAATTATGAATTTCAAGTCAAAGAGTACTAGAACAATATGGCTAAGAACACCTTTTGCGAAGCTGAGGTCCGTCCTTGTCAAGTCCATCCCTTTTAAAGGGGGGGGGGTAATAATTAAATATTAAAACAAAATAAACTGATAGATGAAGATATGAACTTAGTTCATGGCCTTAGGAACCTGGGGACGGGAGATAGAATACTATAGAAAACATATCTGCTATTGATATGCTTATGCCCCCCCAAAAATAACGTCTGATGACCTTTTTTTTCTTGTCAAGGAATTTGGGTAGTTGATAGTGCACCCCCTCCTCAAATGAAAATGTATCGTTGTGCCCCCCCCCCCCTCCAAATCTGATCATGAAATTGCCATGAATTTCACAATTTTGTAAGGGGCACCCTTGCTATTTATAACTATTCAATTATTTTATCTGCTAAATATCTAGAAGCAGAGATTTTCAAAGAATTTATGCATTTCACCATATGATCAATACAGCCCTGTCCTAATACCGGAATGACAGTCTCAGACTATTCTAGAATTTCTAAATTTCGGATGAGGCACTCTTGCTTATAATAACCATGCACTTTATTTGCTTAATACCCTGGAACAGAAAAAAAAATCAAAGAATTAATTAATATTTACCGCTACGTGGTCAATAAAGCTCCACCCAACACCTGAACCCTTGGGCAATGAATTTCATATTTTAGGTATATAGGCAACTTTGTTCATCATAACCATGCATTAAGTTTGTCTGTTTAATATACAGGAGGGAAGGAAGGAGACTTTTTAAAGAATTATTGCATTTTACTACTTGTTCAATAAGGCCCGTCCTAGCACCAGAACCTCTGACCCAGGGGGCTTGAATTTCACAATTTCGGTACTGGGCTCAATGCTTATTACAAATATGAATCATATAATTGTACATCTGGAATTATAATGAAGAAAATTTTTGAAGATTCCATTAATGGTTTTAGCTGCATCCCTCAGACCTTGGGGCACGGACCTTGAAATTCACAATTTTGTCCCTCTTTGTCCATTGATGCTATATACAAAAGTTGGTTCGGTGGTTCCAGAGAGTGACTCAGGTAACCTAAAAAAAAAAAAGAAAAGGGGAATTTGCCAAACTTCAAACCTTTATTTCGTTAAGTGGAGGAGGGTGATGAGTGGTTGCACCAGGCAAGGAAAAATTATCTTCCAAGTTGAGGACAGATTATTTATTTTCAACATTTTCGAGGATTAAATATTTCCAAAATCTGCCTGCCCCCTCAGAATCAAATGGTCGCCTCCTCAGATAACCCTAAAGATTCTTGGAGGCGAGCAGAAATAATTAAACAGTTTAATATTAGTGTAAAGATACGTACTACATATAGTACACTATTACATTGCTAGTAACAATTCCAGGAGGAGGAAAAGTTATTTTTATAGCTAAAAAGGTGTTACATTTCAAATTAATCGAAAGAATTAAAAACATGATAAGCTGCTCATTGTACGCTGTATATGAAAGAAAGTAATATACATAACGATAATTTTGGATGATATCTAATATAATATTCTATGTTTCATACATTAGATATCATTATTTCGATTTCTACGGTAATGCTCATTATATTTATTAACATTCGCAAGAGGCCGGATACACTCCAAAAGTAAAACATCTGTTCCCATTATCGTGTTTTGTCTTCAAATAATTAATGAACAAAATACATGATTGTCTTCTTTCTTTGGAAATCTCTCAGGAAGTATGAACTGATGAATGAGTAAATTGAATTTCATCGGATATAATTATTTAAATTCTTATAGTATATAAAACTTTAAAAGTGTCACAATATTGAAAACTTTTACTAATTCATTTTTTTAATAAAATCACCAATGGTTTACCTAAGAAGGGTAAAAGCAAAGCTTAACCGACAGGTGCTAGAGGACGGGACCCCCCCCCCCCCCCGTTCCGTATCCTTTTTATGACTTTTTTTTAATATATATAAAATATTTTTCTACAACACATTCACAAAGTATTACAATTGAAAAATCCTAAATTTAACCTGAAACTAATCTTTTTATAAAAATTCACACTCCCTGATACTTTTAACAAAGAAACATATTTTATTTATGTTTCTGACATTTAGTAACACAAACAAGAAATTAAATTTTCTGAAGTTCAACAATATACTGAAAATTGGTAAACCTGATACATTTTGTACTTGCCTTCTAGACACTTTAGATGTGGACGAGTTGCGTCCCATTTTGAACTCTTCAGTTAAATTCAAGATGGCTACCATTGGTCTGTTGAGGGCCTGCCGAGGTATATATTCAGTAAATTAATAAGTTTTCTTGGCCAATATTGATTTCTCTAGTGATAAACATGTAACAGTGGGTGATTTTTGCACATGTTAATATTTTACTGGTTAATAGATACGTATGCCATATTTTCTAAATGCGCCACTCAAACACAAGGTCACGAAAAAGAGGATGTATTTTCTGTTTTAGCACTTTCCTTGTCTGTGTTATTTTATTATAATATAGTATGTATTATGTATTTTACTAAGATCATTCAAGTGTTACGATATAACTTTTTTACTCTCTTTCAAAATACATTGCATGATCAGAACACATAAATAACTGATCAAGGTTGTTTGATCACGTAAATTGCATAATAGTGCTGAAATTCATGAAGTTGGCTTATTTTCTTCTTCTTTATTTTCATATTATCATATATAGGCCTATTTCTATCATATTATACTTTACTTTAAGGAAAAAAAACATGAGAAATTATATACAAAAACAAAAATGATTATGAAACGACTAACTTTTTTTTAAGTGTCAGTTACACAAGTAATAAAGCATTCAGTGCCACAAAATATGCTTTTCAGAGATGATGTTTCTATGATCTACAGACAATGATTATCAATCAATAGTTTGCTAGAACCAGTGTTCAGATATTAGTGTCAACTGGGTTTGTCTGTGGAAATGGGCTTTGAATGGCCTAGTTTTTTTAAAACTACATTTTTTGGATTGTATCATATATTTACTTAGTTAGCAACAAATTAATACAAAGTTTTATAATACGCAAGTTTCGAGATTATCTCCCTTGGTGCACTCTTTTGTTACGGAGGGGAGTTTTGTTTCTGCGTAAGCAGGCAGGTTGGACATTTATATTGGATACATTACATCATCATATACCAGTCTATCATAACTGATTGTCGGGTGTACTTATTACCGAATTAAAGTAAAGGCGTCAATTTTTTCTACGAAAAAATAATGGAACAAAAGAACATAAAAATCGGAACATAAGAAAATATCAGTGGATAAAACATCAAACGAGGGAATAGATCTATATGGATCTCTAATAAATACACACGCACCTGATCACTGTACATCGGCATTCTGAATGACTTTTTTTCTTTATAATAACTTCAAAGAGCCCAATAACATTTTAGAAAAAGGTTTGTACAATCAAAGAATTATTTTCTTTTATAAAGACCATGATGTACAGTTCTTTCGTTTTCAAGTATCCTATAACTGAAAGTAACTTTTGTAAATATATATAGAAGAGCTTTACAAAATCATCAAAATGATCACTCCTTAGCATTAGCATCTTTTTAAGCCATAACCATCGTTCTTTTATTTATGCAAGTTTGTATACATTAACAACCTGTCCCACTTCCATGCTGATATAAATACTTTTTGTATTGTAGGAGAGTTACAATCTCGAAACTCACGTATTAATCAGGACATCTATCAAAGATACTAGTAAATGTTTACTTGATGCTACACATTGTACTCACAGGGAAGTAAACATGCAATCAATCATATAACATCATAAATTTGTAGCAGTTATTCAAGTCATTTTTTCAGCAAATACCAACTTGTTGTCCTGTAGTAAACTTTATCTCCCATAAATTAAATCAGAAAAGAGAAAATGGGACTTATATCATCAAATTTATGCCTGGGTTTCTGATACCCATTTTATAAACACTTCTCAAAAAAAAAAAAAAAACAAAAAAAAACTTCCTGTTAATTAGAATCCCAGGATAGTGTAAGTTTCTAAGAAAATATTAAGAAGTTATGGTTGGGGGTCAAAGATTTCGGTAAAAATATATATGCAATATTTATGATGTAAAGGATGTCATCTTCCAAGACCTCTTGTAAATCACTACTGTAGAAATAAAACTAAAATATGAGGAAAATATGTATTTTAATCTTACGTAGCTATTTAAAACATCTATGTTCAAGCCTGATGCAAACCTGAGCAGTATTTGATTTTTGTCTGATAACAGAATGATACAGTATTCACAAATTGACATGTTTAATAACATTAATCAGAATTTTCATGTCTTACAGGAAATGGCTGCTTATTAATGAAGAACAGTTTGTTTCACCAAAAACTTCCTGCAAATCTTCAAAACAGTCTAATTACCAAACATTTTTCCCTGACACCTGTTGCGAGCAGTAATGCTGTTGTAGAGTTCTTCAGAGCACGGAACTTCAGGGCAAAGAGGGGTCCATTTAGACCAGGTAGGAGAGCAATGTTTATGAGAAATATTATGTTTACACTACAAGAGTAAGATATGATATTGGCAAATAAAAACTATTTATTAGATGATAAAAAGATAAAAATCTAGCTGTTGTGTTTGAATATCTGTAGAGGAGAAGCGAGGAGACCATGCCATGATGGCGTCTACACACTGGAAGATTGAACGTGCACTAGCCATCAGTATGTTGGGAGTAATGCCAGCTTGTCTCTTTGTTCAGGGACCCATCATGGACACATTATTATCAATAACAGTTCTTTTACATGGATTCTGGTAAGAAAGCCTTTTATCAAATGATGAAGTTTGTTAACATGTACAGCAAAACTCATTTAATACAAATACAAACATGGATATGGTGAATTTATGGATAAAGTGAAGTTTTTTGGGATTCTGCTGCAAAATTCTTAACAATTCTTTGTAAAAAATTTACAGTTAAATTGAACTCTGATATAACAAATTAATGGATATATAGCAAACTGATTTTGATTCCTGTAGAGGTTAAAAGTAACAAAGTTGAATTTTATATAGCTAATTTTTAATATCTCAAACTTAAAATATTGAGCAGTGACATTAATTTTTGTAGTATTTGTGTTTGAAATTCATTTGAAAAATTTAATACCTCAAGGTAAATTTTGTATTTGATACTTCCCGGCACATTTTCAGTGGTCATGCATGAAGGAAATCATGCATATTGCTAATTCGCTGTATATATTTTAAGGAATTTGTAATACCAAATTACAGATATTGCAAAATAATTCACAGGTTCCCAGGACTTCGCTATATCAGAGTTTTACTTTATCTATTTCTTGTGAGAAATGTTTAACGTCTGAATATTTTATATTAAGAGTGTTTTATTTTGTAGGGGTGTGGATGGTGTTCTCACAGATTACCTGGAGAAATTTGTTCCTTGGATCCACTATCCCTGGTATCTGATCACTATAGCAGGACTAGCTGGACTTTTTTACTTTAATTACAATGATGTGGGGGTCTGTGAGGCAATCAGAATGGTTTGGAGAATGTAATTCTCCTGGTTCTGTACTGTTTAAATCATTAGATGTTACAAGATAAAAAGACTTTGTATAAACCTTTTGCTTGAGAATATTAGCCACCAACTTACATGAGTTTTCAACAGTATCTGCATATTCATCTGCAAAAAGTAAACAGGAATTGTTTATATGTTTAATTTGCACTAGTTTTTAACAAATAAGTGTAAAGCCATAAATAATTTTTATTTTCAAAATAGAATTTTTTTGTATGTTGAAATCCAAGATTGTTTTATCCTGGAGAAAACTGTGCTTTGTAACTTGTGCTTTGTAACATTTTTTTTTTTTTGCTGAAGTTCGTTATTTAATAAATATATTTAATGTACATGCATTTTTGTCTTGTAGATTTTACTAGAGCCCTGAATCTATGCCTTTGTCTAATACATGTACTAATCATGATATCTATCTGTCAGTCAGACTACCATTTTTTATAGGACATAACAGAGTATAAATCATCAATCAGAATTCATATTTACTACATCAGAAGAAGGTCTAAAAGGTTTTTTTTTTAGCACAATGGACAATAGTCAAGCTCAGATGTTGAGTTTTTGTAGCATAATAGGCAATGGTCAAGTTCAAATGATGAGAAAGTTTTATATTATTACTTGTTACTGGGATGAAATGACGTATGATTCCTTACCTAGACTTCTTGTTGTTCACTAGTATGCACTGGGTAATGAGATCATATCAATTTACACAGGTTAAATTTTTTTTTTAGAAGATCCACGTATCTGTTGAACAAAGATCATGCAAAGAGAGAGTTGAGACTAATAATATATCTAATACATTTTGCATGTTAAGTATTGCTGTAACTCAGATATTTTTTTTTTTTTAGCGAAAAATAGAATACTATATGCCCAGTCCTGTTCTGACCTTCTGTCCTTCCATCTGTCTGTCCGTATTACTTTGCGTCACCTTCAAAGAAACTATCATGCATTTTTTTTAATGAAACTTTTTTCACTGTTACATACTGGCATGCCTAGTTCACATTTAGGCCAATGGACGAGCGACTATTAATCTCGTATCGCCTGTTGAAAAAACATGATCGATGGACACTAGTTTCGGGCGACGCGGAGCAGTCACATTAATTTCCAGGAACATCGAAAAATTTTAAAAATCTAAATATTTGTAAGTCGGCCAATCGTCGCAATAGTATAGATTCAAGTTTGTTCAAATCATAACTCTGAGGTAGGGCCACAATAGACGATAAAAGTTTTACATGGAAATACATAGGAAATACATACTAGGAAAAATCTTAAACAATCTTCTCAAGAATAGCAAAATCATGATTTGTCTTATTTATAATATGGAAGCATCCTTGGGTAATGTTAATTCAAATTTGTTCAAATCATGACCCCCTTGGGTAGGGAGGTAACACAACAGGTGATCAAAGTTTTAGTTAAGAATATATGGGAAAGATCATTTAAAAACCTTCTCAAGAACAACAAAGCCGTGATTAGTCATTTCAATACAGAAGCATCTTCAGATACTGTAGATCACTAAATTTTTGCGACACCTTATTTTCACAAGATAGTCATTGACTCTTTATCTCTTTTGTCTCTTTGACTCGAGACAGAATAATCACGAATTGTGGTTGTTGCTCTATATAAACTTTAGGAATACTAATATACACGAGAGTGAAAATTTTTTTCTTCTAACAGTTTATTTTAAACTCTATGGATCCTCTAAGGATTGTTGTTTTACATTCAGATGACTGTTAAGGCCCTAGGGTCTTTTTTTTTCTTTTGCTTGTCAGATTTTTTTGTCGGAAGTTGCCACCCCCTTTTGAAACCGTTGCTACGGGCTTGTGATCGTCGGACTATTCAATTACTGCCTCAATTGAAGAAATTGGCCACCGACGCAGACAAAATCATAACTTGGCCCGACTGAAAAAATTGGTCGGCCGATGAAATTTTAAAAAAAGGCCAAATTCGGGCAAGACAACGGCAGATGAACTGCCAATTGTCGCCCGAAGAATCCCAATTTAGCCTCGAAATCCGTCGGTTGTTGATCGTTTTTGGAAATGTGACAGAGGTTTAAGAGCTATTCAACTGTGTATTTTTTCTATCTTGACTCTCCTTATGACCTCGACCCCACCTTTCATTTTGCACAAAGCCCAGTTTCAAAGAAGCTTCAAGATATTAATCAGAGATAGATATATGTACATACTGGTGAGATACATTCAACTGCATTAAATTTTTAGCTCACCTTAACAAAGTTAGGGGACCTTACATGTATGTATTAACTTCAGCGTCGGCGAATTCCTGGCGAATAACAACGTGAAAATTCTATGAATAAAAATATATAAAGTCAAAAGGACAAAATATGTGTAGATTCTGGAGATTTTCTTCCAAATATCCTTCCATCACAAGCAATTAATAGATCTTATTTCTAGTTGATTTAATGTGTAGACGTTAATTTTTTAAATTGAATGTTATACCATTTGCATTCTTTCATTTAAATATGTTGATTTTAATGGATTATTTTGACATTAGAGGTTTTGACCAAACTTTTATCAAAAGTTGACGAATGACAGATATACATTTAAAAAAGTTGAGACGTTTTGTCCATCTATATAATCCTTTCATTAGGTCTCCTACTTTTCTGGATTTTTATTAGATTCCGCACACTTAAGTGAGAGCCAAAAACTATTTTTAACATGACTTTGGTGATGTCATTGAGACGTGCATTGACGATATAGAATTTCAAATCTGGTCCTCGTGATTCTGAAAATGTTTGATGTTCCGTTTAAGTTTATCATCAAATCTAAAACATTTTCATTGAGATGAACGACCATGTTATAAAAACAATATATTTCTTTACTGGAATACTACATGTAGACATGAGTTCAGAAACTATAATAATGTAGTCCGCCTTTGACAATATGGCATACATGTAAGCTGAAAAGGCTAATTGTATTCGGCGCGTCGGCGCGCTCGCGCAACAGATTTTGTTTATAAAATAAATTATCGCTTATACAATATTGTTAGCATCGGGCTCGATATCATAAATAATCAAAGTACTGAGAAGTACAGAGAGCCGGGCTCATTTACAGAGAAGTGAACAAGTCCGTTTTACATGAAACATACATTGTAATTACAGATGAATAACAACAAGACACTGGAAGAATATGTAACACAAAAATATATTTATGGCATATAGTATAAATAAAAAATGTTTAAAAGATAAAATAAAATAAAATGCAGTTTGAATTTACATTGATGCAGCAAGGTCAAACGTTAATACACAGACGGGTCCTCAGCGGGGAGTTTTGCATAAAGGTGTGCATCGGGTCACATGCTCCCCGCATAAGCCTGGTAACACAACCTTTATCTATAGAATGTGAAGCTGGCAGACTTGATGAAATTACCTATCGCATCTTTTAAACAAATAATTTATTGAAGAAAAGGGGAGAAAGTATATTATCAATTTTTTTTTTTTTTTTTTTTTTTTTTTTAAGAGAATTTCTTAGTTAAATTAAATTTGTTTAATTAAGTGTTTGTATTGCTTCAAAGGTGGTTGAGCATACGTACTTTATTCTTACTCATATTTAATTTGGCGGTGAGGAAGCAGTATTTCCGGTTGAACACCGTAACATAAACCGGCTATTGCTCTACGAGCAATGCGCTCGGCTAAAAAGAGAAAGTTTTATAGATGGAATTTTGTTTTTGAAGCTTCAACATCACTTGTTTGCACAGGGTCCGTTCGCCTTATTTATATTGCAGAAATTGAATAATTAACCAATGGATTTTTTAAATAAATTATATGTACATTGGTACATAAATTGCACACGGGAGACAACAGATGAATGCATGTGGTCACACTATACCGGTAATTTATACCTGTACTAATCAAAGACCCAGCAGACCAACAGAAATTAACATCTCAGTCCTTTAATTGAACATAACGTAGATTGTATGATCCCCTAAATTACAGTGACATTATTAAGTATAATTAAATCAATTAAGCATGTAAAGAGCATAAATATCAAATTTGAATTACTTCATTAAGATTACGGTTAATAAAAAAAAAATACTGTAGCAACATTTGAAAAAAACACCAAGTAAAATATTTAATAAAATTAATAATAAATGTTGATATTTACTATATACTGTATATATAATAGGGCGAACGAGATATAGGGCGAACAAGAATAATGGCGAACGGACCCTGCGCGAACGGATTCATGCGAACAGGTAGATAGGGCGAACGAACCTGATACCATTATTTAACCGCCTGTTGTTTCTTTTATTCATATTCTTTTATCCACTAATTAATACACTAGTTTTATCAATTTTCATTGGCATCAATTTTCGTGCAATCAGCGAATGATTCAGTATTTCGTAAACACAGGTCATCATAAACCTTTTTGATATGCTTCTTACTTTAATGACCATCAAATTCTATTTTAATTTTCACTCTGCAAAACAAACAAACAAACAAAAAAAAATTAATTTTTAAGGAATGTTGATGGAACCATTGTAGATGTATTTTATATGTTTGGATTTGTAATGAGCTTAGTGGTTGAGAAGACTACAATATGGGGAGGCAGGACTTTATGTATCTGTAACTAAAGTTACTCCCCCTGCTCAAATAAAGAACAAGCTAATTTTTAGTAGTAGTAATATTTTAATACGAAACAAGGAATATTTGTCAAACACTGATACCAATGTTTTGCAGCTTATTGCCATGATAATCAAGTCTCTAAAAAGGGGGTTAAACTCTAGAGTCTAGGGTCATTACGTAATACAGGTAAATTTTTATTATACATAAAGAAAATTTATAAAAACCAAAGCACTAAATATTTTTAAATACTATACATGTATATAGTTAATGTTTGGAGAGAGAGAGAGAGAGAGAGAGAGAGAGAGAGAGAGAGAGAGAGAAATCGAAAGTATAGGCCAACTCAAAAAATTGGGGTATATTTCGGATTACTCTAGCACAAATTGTGGTAAGGCATGCATGGATCAAATGGGATCCGGATCCCTGGAAAATTCAAATTTATTTGAACTGACATAGTAAAATTACTAAAGCTTTGCCTTGGACCTCTTCCCCTTGCGATTTAAGCCAACACCTCCTAGGGAAAAATTTCTGGATCCACCCAACAAAAAAATACAATCGGGCTCGGGCTGTCGACTTGAATATAACCGATAATGCTTAAATTATAAAGAAAATCGATGTCATTTGAGTGTTTTAATGCAGGGAGAAAATACTTTTGTGATATCGGGTTGAGATGGACGCGCTGGCGCGCCGACGCGCCGAATACAATTAGCCGCTGAAAATATGGCGAATGCACAGCCACTTGTTTATTTTACAATGATCATATGACACCTTTCTTATACAAATTGTACTTTAATTTGCTATTTTCGACTTTTTGAGTGAGATCTGAGGCCTGTTCAACAGAGCGAACGTTCGCGAGCTCTCGCCTAAATTCCTTATCCTTTCAAGAGAAATGTTGGCGAGCGCTCGCGAACGTTCGCGCTGTTGAACAGGCCTCTGGCTCATAACCATAAACTGAGAACAGACTTCTGTCAAAATTTCAAACCAATATAACTTTAAAAATAATTTTCATAATCAAACAAAATTTTCAGTATATGTTTGAATGTAAATGTGATAAAAAAAAAATTGCAATTTTTTAAGCAAATGCATTAAATAAAACTCAAGATACTAAAAACCAAAATTTTGACTTAAGTCTGTTCTCAGTTTATGGTCAAGGGGCCAGATGTTTTAAAATTTGTAATTATAAGAAGTGCCATCACTTTGGCTAAGAAAATTTAAGTAATACATTAAATTTTTCTTCTGTGATAGTAAACACGCACGAAAACACAGGTCACATCACTTATATATCTTCAATAATGCATTTACAAATGTTTTTTTATGTTTTCTTTCCATATGTGATAAACTGTTAAGTAACAAATTTATCCTCATTGATATTGTATGCGAATTTTTCTAGAACTACCTACTTCAGAAATCTATTTCATAGCAAAGATTATTAAACAAATAAGTAAAATGAGAAATCAATCACAGTCAGTGTGAATCACTCTCATTTTTACATTATTTTCATTTAATTGATAGCATTATCTTTCTCTTGTATACAATATATGTATAGGCCAACCGAACGTAGAAAAACAGAACCATCAAATCGACAAATGAGATCAAAATGGATGTATTCAGATCTTCTATTTAGGAAGTAATGGACATATACAAACCTTTAATGTAAATTAACCTTTTCATGTCCATGAACATTATTTGATGTATAATAAACATTGATTTACATATTGTGTAACTGATACAGAAATGAATTCAAAATGGATTTTATTTTATTGACATAAAATTGACCCTCCTAATTGATGTTACCACTAATATAAAATGGTCAAGTTGGGTCAATTAGATTAAATGCTGCAAACGCCGCTAATTGAAGGGTTTTATGAAAGAGAGTAATTCTGTCTAAGACTTTAACGGAAATGAAGGACGGTGTTAGTGGTGTTTTGGGAGACTCGTATTTTGTAGACCAGTCCTCGGACCAGCCTTCTAAAAGATCCTCTGGTGAAACGTCATTATGTCAAGTATGGAAAGAACTACTGGACAACACGTCAATGCACGGCGTCAGTCGGATATCCTGCCGGAAGACCATTTTTCATGGGTAAATTTTTCCTCGTACTTTTTCTTTTAGGTCATCTGAGTGACTCAGATGACATATTGCTACCTGTTATGTACGGCGTGCTTTAACATTTGTACATTTTCAGCTTCTTCTCTGGAACAACTGAACCAATTTCAATCAATTTGGGCATTTATAATATACATGTATGTTAAATATACTTAACTATAGTATTTTTGTTTTTGTTTAAAGACATTGGTAAGTCAGGGTTTTCCGGAGAAAAAAGGTTTAATACATAGGTTTTTTTCACTTATGAAATAGTGATTAAGAGTGATCTCCCGTGTAGAATTCTCTAAGCGGTGAAAAACAATAAAGCGGATGTTACAGAGGTAAACAAAAGCACGTGTACTTACTTCAACGGGTAGAATCATCTATACAGCAAGAAAGAGAAGTAGTAATGGCTTTGTTGCACATTGTATTCAGGGACAAAGAGCCAACAGGTCGTCATTTACCACAGTTATGCTCAGTATGCTGGGAAGGGCAAAGATATGAATATACTGAAAGATAGACCGACTGAGATCAGTTCTTAGGTTGTATATAGGAAGCAGCATTTACATGTAGTAACTACGAATAAGAATAAAATAAATCCATGCCAATATTTTTGACAATGTGTTTCAATCAATTCAGTCAATTACATAAAAGAATAATCAACCAGTATGACTCTCTTGACATTATGGATAATACGTAATTATAGCTATTAAGGGAAGTAACTCAAAAATAAAGATCGGTGCCGATGTGTCCTTGTCTTGTTTCTATATAAACATTTTCAGCCAAAATATCTAGAAGTCATAGGAAATGAAGATACAATAATGTACATAATACAAAAACTATATGAAATAAGTGGGTTTTGGAGAAATATTATGGTCAAAAATTATGTAAGTCCCTTTTATCAACATTTTACATAGGAAATGCACTGAGAATTGCAAAAAACACTGATTTGACAAAATCTAAAAAAAAAAAAAAAGAAGGCTGGCTTGGTAGGTTAAACAATCCAGAATATAGCTTGTTTAGTACAATTAAACCTACTCAAGAGTTCTTGAAAAATTCTATACGATAACCAGGAACCTTGCTAATGTCCTTAAGTGCATGGTTATGATGAGAAGGGTGCCTCTTCCAAAATTGTGAAATTTGTGGTCCCAGGGTCTGGGGCTCTTGTGTTGGGGGAGACTCTATCAATTATCTGGTGAAAATGCTTTATTTCTTTGATAATTTTCTCTGCTCTTGGGTATTTAGGACATAAACTAAGTTCAAAGTTATGTTGAGTAAGAGTGCCTTTTCCAAAATTTTGAATTTCATGGCCCCTGTGTGTTCTGGGTTTTTGTAATAGGATTAGACTCTATTGATTATAATGATTTTATACTATGATTTTATACTGAAAATGCATTATTTCTGAGAATTTTTTCTCTACTTCAAGGTTTTAAGGAAACAAACTCATAGTCATGATAAGCGAGAGTGCCTCTTCCGAAAACTGTGAATTTAATGGCCTTGATCGGGGGCTCTGGTGTTTATTCTTTGAAAATCTTCTCTGCTCCTCTATATTTAGCAGATAAACTAAGTGCATAGTTATGATTAGCAAGGATGCCTTTTTCTAATTATGAAATTCATGTATAGCCCCTCGGTCAGGGTTTTGGCGTTAGGACTGGGCTTTGTTGAATACATGTATATAGTTGTGTTGTGTTAAATCTAGTGAAAATGCATTATTTCTTTGAAAATAGATCTATTTTAAATTTGATACTGAGTAACAATTATTTTGTTGATCCCTGATCATCTTCTTTCTCTTGCTCTTGGGCAACATAGCTTCATCTATCAGTTTATTTTGTTTTACTATAAACTTCTGTGGATCCCTTACAGTGTTGTATTATTATATACTCATGTGACCTTAAGGCCATGGGCCTCTAGGGTTTTCCCCCTTAATTTTTTGAACTGTAATTGTAATGATGTTTTTTCCTGAACATTGTGGACTGTTATGGAGTTAGGGTATTTTTTTTTTTTCGAGAATTTTTGGACTGTTGTTATGGTGGGTTTATTCTCCAGAATTTTTGGACTGTTATGATGTTTCTTTTCAGAATTTTTTGGACAGTTATGATGGTGATTATGTTTGTTTGCCTTACATTGGTCCTCGTAGCTTTTTCCACGTCGTATTTTTCCTACGAAACACTGATCAACATTAGGGTGGAAATGGCCACTGATATGGAATTTCCTACCATAACCATCTGCAATATCAGTCCTGTAAACATGTCAAAAATTCGAAACGCCAGTGTCATATACGATTTCAGTTTAGCTGTAGGTGGGTTTGGCGAGAGTTTTGAAAGAGAATTTAATATTTCCGATCCAAAGTACGCCATTTTACATGAGCCGAGAAACGACTCCTGGTTGAAGGACACAAGCTTCGATCTAAGATCTATGATATTCGCCTGCAAGTTTGCAGGAAGAAAGGACTGTTCTCTGTTTATGGAGAAAAGAAAAACGGACGTTGGTATGTGCTTTTCGTTCAATGGCCCGTCACAGAATCCTCCACTTGTAAGCAGAATAATCGGAAGTAAAAAAGGACTGTCGATGTTTGTACACTTGGACCAGGATAATTATCTCATTGGAAATCACAAGGGCGCTGGAATACAGGTAAAAATTCAAATTTGAAACGTTTCGTATTTTTAGATTCATTCTTGGAATAAAATCTCTGTTGCGATACGCCAAATTCACAATCTAAGCTAGGCATAGTTAAACCATTGATACTTCGTTTTACTGTATTTATTAATTGTAAACTGTATAGTTTGTCAAGCGTAAACTATAGTTAACAATTTGTTAGGTATAGTTTTTATCGTAAAATTTTAATCAGATGTAGTTACGAATGATAAATCTGCCTGTGAATAATCATTAGTAAACTATGATTATCATTCGTTAACTATTATAAATATTTCGTTAAGATAGTTAAGAGATGAAAATATTCACTAATACTGTAAGAGGTGATTCATTAATCATGAAACCATATTTATCAAATAAACTATGCTTTCGTTAGTTTAGATTGTTAATAGCTTTTCTCTGTAACTACCTAAACGCTTTTGCTACGCATGGACACCGATTTTGATGAAACTTTTCGATTTTGATGAAAACTTTGATGAAGCTCATTATCACAACTTGACTACACACATATATATATATATATATATATATATATATATATATATATATATATATATATATATATATATAAATATAAATATAAAATGGTTGGTGTGTGTCTTGGTTGCCATGGTAACAGCAGGGGAAAAAATGAAAAATTGTCATTTTCAACTACTTTTAATCTTTATTGAGCTTTAATAAACACTAAGAAAATCAAACCAACCATTCTCACAAAAACATTGCACCTTGGTGCTAATTATATAAAAATTATATAGAATTTATCTCTAAAGAAGTGGTAACCATGGGTAAATTTGGAATACATTTTAGATGCTGAGAAAGGCTCAATATTCAAGCATTGAATTCCTGTTTTGGGATGTCGTCGGTCCTATAACAGCACCTGGCTGTGTCGACAAATTGAATACAGCGCATTAGCTCGGTATGATAAATTTTCGGCACTGCCAGGTGCGGTTATAGGACCGACGACATCGTAAAATAAAATTTCACTTCTTATATTTATATTTTCTAATTTTCTATTTTCATAATTGTTAATTTTATTAATTTTTATTATGAATTTCCTTTCAGAACTGGTGTGCTTAATAAACATAAGCGCTGTTGTGACGCAAATGAATATCGCGTGGGAAAAAATTAAGAAATTAATTTTAAACGTACAATTGTTATAATTTCACAATAATTTAATAGGGGAATCGTTTTTAATTAAATTGTGCCAGAACAATATACATTTTAGTATTCCTAGTGTATTGAAAATGCATATAGTTCCGTCTGTGTATTCTACCGTGCAGTGACAAGATTTCGTGTGTGTCATAAATTTACAAGGATTTCATAAAGAAAAATTATACTGAGTGTAAATATTCACTAATGATAAATGTTACATGAACAAATTCAATCAACAACACAAGAAAAACAATATAAATATTTGACCTTAAGTAAGAAGGTATTGGCAATATTATATAAACATCTTTCATTGTTGCCATGGTAACACAGTTAGTCATATAAAAGTTGTTGCTGAGCGTTGGTTAATGTTGCTATCTTGAGGAAAGACATGAAAATTCAAAATCAGCAAATATACATCATTAGGACCTTTTAGCACAGATAGCATAAGAAGAATTTGGGTTAATTACTACTTTGCGGTGTAACCAAAGTAGTACAATGTTTTAAAGTGCTCTTAGGAATTTAGTTACCTATTAATCAAGAAACATATTATTTGACTCACTTTGAATTGTATAGAACTTAAATATCGTATATTGAAAAAAGTTTGACGAAGAAAATAACACTGTTGCTATGGTGACCAAGAAGGGAAAATGTTCGATTTTGTTTACTATATAGAAATATCAACTTCTTGCATCCAGTTAGAGATTGTGTGGTAGTCAAAACTGAAAACCAGGCTATTTGTTATAAATATCAATCATTTAAGTTTTGGGAATCTACTTACAAGTGTACATATCCAAGGAAACAAAATATTTTTTCAGCTTTTTAAGCACATTTTCCCTATACTTTCCATAGCAACACTATTTGAAGAATGTAATTTGATTTTTTTTTTTTTTTAATGTGAAAATTAGGCCTTTAAAAATTGATCACCAGTTGTATAGAATTTTGCTTTTCAAAAAGATGGGATCAAAGTAAAACATACAGAGAGTAAATTTGAAATCCCTTTGCTGTAATAAAACCATAGCAACCATTGCCAAAACCAATAAGAAATATCACACTTCGTCCTTGGTATAGGTTACAAAGGTATTTCTTTATTATTTTGTTATATTTCAATCTAAAATTGCTTTTACAGGTATATGTTTGAGTGTATGGCTTTATAAAATAAAAAAATAAATAATTTATTACCTTTTAATATTTTGTCAGTAAAATGTAATAGTTGATTTCCTAAATATTTTTAGCATGCAATTTAGACTCAGACCATCAACTCTTGGTGACAGTCATTGCCACTTGTTTGTATTACTGCAAACATTAATTAGTGGTCTCTAATGTTAAAAATGCCATTTTTCAAACTTTAAGGCATGCTGCCATGGTAATGATAAAACATAGAGACCAATATTTGTCTGATTTGAGTTTACGGTATCAGAGACTTTCATCATAGAGATTTTGGAGAAATTCTTAGACTATGCGTGCCATATAGTACAGCTCCTATATAAAAGTTCAAGTTATTACAGAGAATGGCTCTTTTAATTATAACTATTCATATAGTTAAGTTTTAGTAATCGTGAAACTGTATTTATCTTGCAGATAAACCGTATTTTGAACTTGAAAATATTTGTTTTCACTATTAAGTATAGTTGACACTTGTGATACACAAATTTCTGCATAAATTAATGTTTAGAGATTTAAATATAAATTGATGTCGTTAACTATAGATTACGCTCCGTAACCTGTATAGTTAACAACTGTTAAACCAATTTTATCAATTGTAAAACCATGTTTAGCTCATTTTTGTGAATTTTGCGTATATATTGTGATGAGAAGCTCCTTTTGCTTTGTTCTTATTAATATTAGTGCATGTTTTTATGAGAAAAATTTAAATTAATGAACAATGCATGTGGTTGCAGGTTGCGATTCACCATCGAGATGTTGAACCTAATATGGCAGATAAAGGTTTTTATGTTTGTCCTGGCACTGTTACTTACGTACCGATCAGGAAAAACAAGGTACAAAAAGAAAATGTAGGCAGAAGTCATGAAATACAACTGATATAGACTTATATTTGAAGTTAATTCACTTTACTTGATGTGTCAAATGATTTTTCAGCAACCGGTTAAACAGGGCAGGTATGCAATGAATACGCGCTAAATAATTGTTCATCATCTAACTTATCGGAAATTTCCATTACAAAGAAAATAATCAAGTTCTGCATAAGCACATGGAGCTCATGGAAATTTCATGTTCTTTACAAATTGTTATTATTTAAGCCTTTAAGTTGTTATAAAAGCGTTATTCATTTTTTTTCCTAGTACACATATCTGCCGAGGCCATACAAAGCATTCGGAACGAATTATTGTACAAAAACTACAGATCCAGATTTTCAAAATCCATTGAAACATTATCCAAAATACAGCCATTATGCTTGCCTCAAAGAATGTCGCTCCCGCTTCATCTTTAAATTCTGCAAATGTCGTCTGATAACAGATATGGGTAAGACTGTTTTACTCTTTGAATACACCATGATAATTCATAATTATACTAGTGCATAAATGGGACTTACATATGTATATGGACCCAGTTTATGTGTACTGTATTCCGACTGCCTTTGTATTTTAGTAACGCAGTGTTGTTGGCTGTGATCTCAAAATTGAGCGCTTATGAGACGTCATTCTAAGTAATTGTGAGTTTAAAAATTGTAAACATAGATGGGAAAGGAAAAGAGTTTTGTTGAACTTCTGGTATTCTCACTGTGAAAAATATCACTTCCAAAAACATTATTTTCATTCAATAGAGAAATTACAGTATTTCACTAATGTAATAAAGATCTTTGTTTTAACCATAGGTGACGAAATCATCTGTACCATCGCCCAGGAATATCAGTGTGCTTTTGACACAAGAGGTTTGTTTACTGCATAAAGAACTTGCGTATATTCTTATTAATTTAATTCTCAAAATGCATATATACATGCTTAATTTGTGCATAATCTTGTTGATTTAGTTTTTTAAATGATAATCACATCTACTTTCTGGATTTGTCTATTATTCGTTACTGAAAATAAAATTAAAGTGCTGAATATGTGTATAATGATTTTGAAATTCTGAAATAATAATAATTATAATAAAATTTACAAATTAAATTTATGTATAATTCCTAAATGAAAATTACACTTACATGCAAAATTTGTGTATATTCTAATCGATTTAATTCCTAACTGATAACATTTACATGCTAAATTTGTGTATATTCTCGTCGATTTAATTCCTAATTGATAACATTTACATGTTAAATTTGTATATTTTCTAATCGATTTAAATAACACTTACATGCTAAATTTGTGTATATTCTCATTGATTTAGTTTCTAAATGATAAAAACAGTTACATGCTACTTTTGTAGAGTTATTTGATAGCAGTACCAGAGTTCAGGCAGAGTGTAATTGTCCTATACCTTGTGAAAATGTACATTTTGAAAAGGAGATCTCGTCTGCCCAATTTCCCTCAGAAAAATACCGAGAAGTAATCTATAATTTCTATAAGATTGAAAATATCAGGTACGATTGCGAATTTTTCATTAAATCGACTTCATTGAATACATGATGACTGCATTAATTAATTCACATACTTTTTAGAAAATAATCTTACTTTATTACAGTTCGAATTACTTACAGCTGAATATTTATTATGATACGTTTGTAACGCACACAATTGAGCAAGTTCCAAAGGTAGACATTACAAACGTGCTGGGTATGTAACAACATGTTCACAGAAGTACACTAAAACATGAAAAACTTTAACATTAAAGATGTATAATAGTGTGTTTTTCAGTCAAGAAAACTGAGTCAATTTTTCAACTCCATGGAAAATCGCAAAATTATTAGACAGAAATGTATTTCAATTACAATAAAAGCATGCTTCCTTTTCAGGAAATATTGGAGGATACCTCGGAATCTTCCTAGGGGCTAGCTTACTGACAATAACAGAGGTGTTCGAAGTGGTTGTGCTTACTGCGTGCGTGTTTCTGAGGCGTATCATGAGACACACCAAGTGTTTTCTAACCAGAGTAAAGCAGAGAATCAGCATGGTTACAATTTCTACAGATACTACCAAATAAACTGGTGTCCAATATTGCTTCAGAAGCTAAATATGTTTCATTCCAAGACGTTTTATTTATGTTTTTTAACATTATAAATGCAGTTGTTTTTATTTGAAATATACTGTATCATCTTTAAGACGTGTCTACTCAGGGCAAAGTGAATGTTCATTTCGTTAAAGACAACTGAACATGTTAATGTATTCAATTCAGTGTTCAGTAAATTAATGATATTTATTCCATGATAATATATACGTCATTTTGAGGATTATCCACTTTCTTTTTTTCTGTTTTCTGTTTGTGATTGTGTTTTTAACTGTCTGTAGGACGGCTTAAGATAACTCGACTAAATGAAATATGGAGATAACGAACAGTATTCAAGCTCAAAAGTCTGTTCAAGCAATGCAAAGAGAAGCAGAGCAAAGACGGGCCTCTAAACTTAGAATATCAGCTCCAATGAATATAACCATGTAGCCACCGAAATTGCCTATAATGGATAAGAAGTTAATTTATTGCACTTAAATGTTTGTCTCCAGATTTTACTACATGTATCGTACATAAATTCCTAGGTATCGGAAAACAAGTATACCTAAAAGACTAAATATGTTCATCTTACGGATCTGTTTTCTTCTCTCTCTGATCATTGAACGGTAATATATGAAGACCTGGGCAAAATTTTCTCTACAATAGGAATCGATTTACATGAAGTGAACAAATGATTTTTTTTTTTAATTTTGTTTCCCAGACCTATACTATAACATTTGAATTCCCTACACGAATCTTTATGGCAGCTGCCAGAGATGGGGCCCTGACTAAGCTCCATCGAAATACAGTTATAGCATAAATTAGTCCTACATCATCTCGCAGGATGATGACATAATAATAATATTACTTGTAGATGAAAAATAAATAATGATAATTATAGAGTTGTATACACACACATAATCATACATATTTACATATACATTAATTTTACAACCAGAAGAAAAGAAAAGTACAAGTTTATTTAATATTGTATGAATATTAATACATTCCCATTGCTGTCGAAAGGGGAAATCACATACATTCACTCAGTCCTTGGGTTCCCCTTCAGCAGCACTACTAGAGGGACAGAAACCGTCTAGCAGCGGGAATTAATTAATTTTTCTTATAAAAATAAATTAATTTAATACATAGAGATTACATGAACATATTTTTTTTTAGTTTTATAAACTTATATCTATATACTATAACAAATTCGGTAATTTTATAAACTTTCCAATAATATCTACATTTAGAGCATAATTACAAAACTTAATTACTTTACACCAAAATACTGTAGATTTTTTTATATGATGTACAATATTATATTCAGTTTCGTCAAGATTTTCTATTCTACAAAACATTTTGTATTCATATATTTTTAATGCAATAAAGGAAATAAAATTGTTCAGAAAGTATGTTTTCTGGTTACGTTCAAAATAAAAACCGATAACAATGTCTTTCCATTGAATGTTAACTTTAAACACAGTTGAAGCTATATCCCATATATATTTAACATTTCTACATTCAAAAATAAGATGGTGCATGTCTTCTTCAACAGAACAAAGAGAACACTTGTCTGTGGTATCCTTTTTCCACTTTACCATATATTTTTTGCAACAAAGTAAATTGTGCAATAATTTGTAATTGAATTCCGCAATGTTTTTTTCTATAGCCAGTTTAATCTTTTGCTGATAAACAGATTTCCACATTTTTTGACTAACATTGAACATTTATCCAAGTATTCGCTGATGTTTTGGCGGAATAGCTTTTTTACTTATAAGGATATCATAGAAAAATTTACATTTCTTGCTTTCAGCCCTACAATAATTTCCATGAAAATTAAAATTTCTTTTGTTCTTTATGTTAATAAATTTATATTGTTGATCTTCACTTTTTTCTCTAATATATTTAAAAATTGTCTTTATCATTTTATATTCACACAATAAATTTGACTTTTTTTGAATTTCTTCTCCTATATTTTCGATGGTTTTAAATCCACCATCTGAAAAGAGATCTTTTACATATTTTATATTTTTAACCCAATTTTTAAAAAATACCGTTTTTCCCTTATACAAAAACAGTCTATTATTCCAGATCGGTTCTTGTAAAATTTCGTTAATACTCATTTTCTTTATATCGGGAATTTTTTTACATTGATTGAAATAAATAAAGATTTCTTTATAGAACAAAGGCAATCTTTTAAAGGAGTCAAAGTCGTTCACACCAGTACTGTTGGTTTTTAATATATATTCAAAATTTACATTATACACCCCTAATAAATTGTCAAGGTGGGAAAGCATAGAGTTGTGATTAGCAATATCCATGAGTCTTGGTATCCAAGTAGCTTTTAATGCTTGGAACGTGGTAAGTATATCTACTACTCCAATCCCCCCCCCCCTTCTTCTATTTTACCAATTAATGTATTTCGCATAATTCTGTCTCTGGAATCCCAAAGGAAGTTGAAAATGAATTTACTTATTTCTTTTTAGTTCGTTTTCTCGCGGAATAGGAAAGATAGACGCAACATAGATAAATTTACTTATACCTTAGCTGTTTATGATTTCAGTCTTACCAAAAATTGTAAGTTTTCTTTTTTTCCATGATTCAAAGAGTTTTTGCATATTTTCGCATTTATCAATCCATTTTTTTCTATAGCATTCCTCTTTATTTATACCTATGTATATGCCCAAACATTTAAGTGATGAAGTATCAACTTTTATACCTTCTATTTTGTCTCTGATATGCCTCCTGTCAATATGCATTCAGTTTTATCTATATTCAACTTCGATCCAGCATAATTTGAAAACTCGTGTATTGTTTTAAGACATTCTTTCATTGATTCCACATTTTTAAGAAATAATGTAAGATCATCAGCATGATGGACATGTTTATATTCTCTACTGCTATCAGAAAGTTTAATCCCAGAAATTTGGTCGTTATTCTTGATTTTAAGAGCTAGAATATCAGCGACAAATAAAAATAATATCGTCGAGATCGGACACCCCTGACGAATTCCCCTAGACATAATGCATGTTTTGGATACCCAAACTTTGTTTTTTAGTCGAAAAACTGAATTTTCATCCATTTTAAAAAATTTGTTTTTCGGTTGTATTTCTCTAAAGTTTTGAATAAAAAATTCCATTCTTTCGAGTCAAAAGCCTTTTCAAAGTCTAAAAATAGCAATATTCCATCATTATTAGTTTCTTCAAAGTACTCTAAAATATCTAAAATAATTCTGGCATTTTCACCAAAATATCTCCCTTTAATATATGCTGATTGATTTTCATTGATTGTATTTCCACTAACTTTTTGCAGTCTTTTTGCAAATATAAATGCAATTATTTTGTAATCAGTATTAGTCAAGCTGATTGGACGATAATTTTTAAAAAAATTTTCATCGCCTTTCTTGTATAAAAGGGAGATAACTGCAACTCTCTGTAAAAAACTCATTCGTTCATTTTCGAAAATATTTTTCAATGCTTCGTAAAATAAATGTTTTATATCTTTCCAAAAACATTGGTAAAATTCATTTGTAAGGCCATATAGACCAGGAGATTGGTTAGCTTTTAGATTAAACACTGCATCAGTGCATTCTTCCAGAGAGGGAAATTGTTCACAGAAATTAGCATCGCGTTCGCGCACTGTATTTTCTAACTCAATTGAAGAAAAATAGTTATCAATGCCATCATCTGTTATATTATTTGAAGAGTATAGATTTTCATAAAAGTCGCACATAGCGCCTAAAATGTCATCAGTAGTCTCTATATTATTGTCATTTACCTTTAGTTCTTTTATTACATTTTGTTTTTGTCTACTTTTTTCTAGATTAAGAAAAAAATTTGAACATTTTTCACCTTCTAATATCCATTTTGATTGTGATCTTACAAAGGCACCTTTACACTTTTTATCATAAAGCTCGTCTAATTGTGCTTCTAGGTTGCGTTTTCTGTTCATATCGATATTTTGAAATTCAGATTCTTCTATTTTATTTATTTCCTTCTCTAATAAGTTAATTTTGTTCTTTATATTTTGACTTGATTTTTTTGAGAATCTAATAGAAAACTCTCTTGCTTTGAATGATTCCCACGTATCTAACGGGTTTACCTGTTCTTCCTGTAGTTCACTTATTACAGTTTTAATTCTTTTTTGTATTCTATATCAGTTAAATGAGAATTATTCAATTTCCAGTACCCGCTCCCTCGTTTCTTCTCATCTAATTTAAATGATATTTTTAAAACCCTATGATCAGACATTCTTTTTCCGAGATTTGTTCCAGGAATTTTACGTATAGTTTGTTTAATTCGAAAGCGAAGTTTTTGTTTATAAATATATAATCTATTCTACTACTAGGAATATTTTCTGAATTGCACCATGTATATCCATTTAAGGATGGATATTTCGTTCTCCACGTATCCATTAAATCAAACGTATTTAATATTTTTTTAAGTTTTGGAAGACTTTGATCGTGATGATTATCAATTTTACAATTAAAATCTCCACATAAGATAATATTATCATCATCTGTTGTGCAATTTATATGCAAAAAACAATGCAATGTTTGAAAAATTAAACCCCTTTCTTTAACAGAATTTGGTGCATAAATATTTATAAACGAGAATAATATTTCATTTATTTTTACTTTTAAAAATAATCTTCTACCGTCATGCGAGATATGTTTCTCAACTATTTCTGCATTCAATTCTTTCTTAAATAAAATACTGACGCCTCGGCTAAATGATGAGTCACTATAACAATGAAATGATTTTCCAAACCATCTTGAGTCATATTTAATCTTATTTTTCTCAACATAATGGGTTTCTTGTAAAAAAAAAAAAATAACATCTATTTTTGTATCATTTAGCCATGTATATAGTTTAATCCCTTTTTCGTCCGAGTTAAGTCCTCGGACATTTACCGACAATATTTCAAAATTATTCATTTATCATTCATTTATATATATATATATATATATATATATATATATATATATATATATATATATATATATATATATATATATATATATATAAAGCGAATATAAATATATTTTGTGATAAAGAAAATTATGATAAAGATCTAACAATGTTTATAGATTTCATTTATTTTAAATAATTTTTTGATAAGTCCTTAAAAAAGAACTACGATTCAAACAGTTTTAAGACGTAAACGTTAATGATTTGTTATTTGATTTGTTATTTCTGCGGTTTCTTACCGACTGGGGCTTTTGAGCTGTGTTTCCCCGTTTGGATCTCATTTTGTCCGTCAGAATTTGACCCATAGTGTTCTTCCCAGGCCATGCGCTCATATCGGTGTACAATGTACCTTTCTTATCTAGTCCAGTCCCCCAATAGTCATCAAAGGCAGCTTCAACGAGTAGAGTGGATGACTCAGCAGAGGAAAGCTTTTCCTTGAATTCAATCACTTGATCGAATTTGGCTTCGATGACCTGACGCATAACGTCGTCTCTCTCCTGCAACCAATGATCCGGAACGGTCACCTGTGATCCAATACGTTTGGCGTCTAGCGCAGTAGCGGCGTTTCTGACAACTGAAGTGAACAAATGATGAATGCAAAAGCCAAATGTGATAGTAAGCTCAGTGTATTTAATTGTTCTGATGTAAATGGAAATTTATTATTGTAATACATAGAGATCAGAATTGCTGAATTGTTTGAAAAATACTTCATAAGATCTGCTGTATATCATATTCATTGTATAAATAAAAATTCTCTTGGGATTACCGATGAAAAAAAATACAATTTTTCTTCCAAGTGACATTTAAGGACTTTCTGCAATTTACCGTTTTTTTGTTTTTTTTTTTTTTTTGTTTGTTTTTTTTTTTTTTTTTTTGTTTTTTTTTTTTGTGAACAAAAATGGCCGTATCAAAGTTTTTCTCTGCTCACTCAGGAGTTGTAAATTCGTGCTTAACGTTCAACAAAACGACCAAAGATTTACAGGAATATTTAGATTTTAAAAAATCTCAAGACTTTGAGTCTATTACATTATCGAAAATTCTAGATAAGACTATGTTTTATCAGTTATGAGAGTGATTTCTAGTATATAATATAACTATTATGCAGTTCAGTGTACGATCAATGTAATGTTATAAGGACCCAAGAATAAAACATGGACTATATAATAAAAAATATTCTGCACTATACAATTATGGACTCTTTTGGTGATTAATATGGTTTCTCATTCACCAGAAAAATATCAATATTGACCTCAGTTTCACCTCGGTCAATATTGAATTTTTTGTGAATAACAAACCATATTCACCACCGAAAGAGTCCACATTTGTATACCTCATACACACTGACTAATGTCGACCTCGAACAGGCTCTGTCACTTTATATTGCCTTACAATGAAGGCCATAATCACCCCTACTTATGTGTTCGGAAACTTTTATTTTTCGGTGTGCTGCAAATTATAATAATATCCGAGAAGTTTACAGAAGCTCTGCAGCGAGACTTTTAATGGATAAAGTAAGTTGGTCAGGGAAGTGTAGCTAGAAAGTACTAACTAGCACGTGGAGACATGGAAAGCAGAAAAGTTATGTTACATTTCAGTTTTCAAGACTGCATTATATCAGTGGTTATGTACTTTAATGTGTCTAGAATTCATTCAAACATCATCATTACATGTAAGTATTCTTTATGAATTATTTCCTGCAGTTATGAATTAAAATTTCTTTTTTCACAGGAACTACATTTTCTGGCGTCAGACTGTTTACATACTAAACGAGGCCCCAACGTGACTTAAAACTGACAAATCAGCTGTATGTTTTGTTTGTTTGATTGTTGTTAAACGTCCCTCTCGAGAATTTTTAACTCATATGGAGACGCCACCTTTTGCCGGTGGAGAGCTGCAAATTTTGACCTATACTCAGGGCAGTAAGAGATCTTTTTCGTGCCAGTACCTACTGCGACACGGGACCTCGGTTTATACGGTCTCATCCGAAGGACCGGTCTCCACGTCCCACTGTGCAATTCGAACCCGCGACGTAAGGATCGACTCCTTACTCCGCGACTCAAGACGCTCTACACTTCGCCATACAATCAGCCGAATGAGTTAAATAGCATTGTTTTACCTTTAAAAATTATTTCCTATATAAATCTATACTTTAAAAAGTCTAACATTTCTTATGTTTTACTGAGCGGTCATAATAAAAATCGATGTTTGACCGCAGTGAGATATCGGACCTGTTGACGAGAAATTGGACCGCTTACGTCACAATGTGGGCGTGATAAGCATAATCTCATTTGCATTCATTGGTATGGAAGCCAGAAAAGATGCACATATAACAAAAAAATAAATAAATAGATAAAAGGTATAACAAAACATTTATTGACTGTGTTCTCGGTCAAAATGCGTTTTGCCGACCCCTCGAACCAAACCGCTTGCCCTGGGCCTAACGGCCTCAGGTAAACAGTTTGGTTCTTGGGTCCGACAAAACGCATGTTGCCCTCGAACCCAGTCAATTAATGTATAATATGAGTTACTTCGAGTAGTACAGGAAAACAGGAATTTTACGTTTAGAAAAGAGCAAATCTACTTGCAATTGCAAAAAAACACTATGATCATTTTATTTCATATTATACATAAAATCAATATGTTCATTATTTTCTATTATTTCCATGCTCACAAACAATTATTAAAGAAAAGTAGAATTCTATTTTTCTCAAAGCCATTCTGTGAGACGATTTGCGTCTGTCTATCGGTGAAAACTAATCGGCTTGGCCAAGATCAGGTGCCCATTTCCAACTAAATGATGTTATATAGATGTTACTCTTTATAGTTACATCCCATATAAATATCTTTTGTTGTAGTGCAAAGATCAGAAAGAGAGCTTTGCATTGGTATACAATATAATATTTGTAGTGTCTGCATTTTTGAAAAGACAACAGAATAAAGTCAAAGTTTCATTATTTTTGAAGCGTTATGCTGGTGCACTTGATTTTTTACATTTTAAAAAATTGTTAAAAATAATTATTAGGATCATTGATTTAAGAATCAGTAGAGAATCATTGTTTTGTACATATTTAGTAAATCTAATTCCACATAATTCTCGTTTAGTTTATTTTGACCAATCAACTATAGGCGTAGGTAACATAAGGAAAATTATGTATCTCTTTCTCCATGACTGGAAAACCCACAGTACATATTACATTATGATATAAGAGGTTCTGACCAAAACTTTCTGAAAATGTTGACGGGTGACATACATTAAAAGTAAGTTAAGGCATATTGTTCATCTTTTCATTGGATTTCCTATTTTTCTGGATTTTAATTAGATTTGGTAAATTTTAAGAGCCAAAAATATTTTTAACGACATTGGTCAAGTCATGGAGAGATGGAGTCATGAACATGTAAGCTGAAAATATGGCGTATGCACAGGCACTTGTTCTTGACCCAAAGTTTTATTCTTATACTATAGATTCAGAAAGAAGGTACGGTTTGGGTTTATTTGCCCTAAGAATTTAATGTTTTCAAAAAGTTATGGTATTGGCTTAAATATGAATTAAGTATATGAATGTGATAAATCATGAACGAAAACGGCATGAAAGAGAATAGAACCATTCTGGAAATATGACGTCATTAATTTGGTACAATTCTAAGTTTTTAACGGAAAAAGCCTCATAATAACTCATTTCTGGAGTTATATTCCTGAAGAAAATAGTGTCCACAGCCGTCGCCACTTCAATTTTCGGAAATGTTGTGTAAAATCCTTGGAAAAAGCACATTTGTAAAAATCTTTATGGGCGATGTTTGTGCTCTATATTATCTGAAAAAAAATTCCACTGAAAATTTGTCTTCTGCAACTTTTTAAGAAAATACGGGAAAATGAACATGTTCTTGACGTCACAATTAGCATTTAGGAGGACAAATGAGAAAAACGATTCGTTTGTTCTTACTGCATGGAATTTCATAGTTTTAGTAAGCATGGGTTTTATTTTTTTTTAAATCACTTTCATATTTTAGGAAAATAGATGGCCAGATTTTGAAACTGTACCTTGTTTTTTTTTGTAGAAACAAGTGCCTGTGGGTGTATATTAAAAATTAATTTTTTGAAAAATTTTTAACATTTGATTGGACAAGTATATCGAAGTAAAATGTAGTATACGGGTATACTGGTAAACAATTCGTGAATATTCGCTATGGCCAGACATAGAATGATCACGTTACACCTTTTTATACAAACTGTACTTTAATTTGCTTATCTTCAACTTTTTGTGCGAGATCCAATGTTTTGAATTTTGTAATTATAGGAATTTCTATCACTTTGGCAAAGAAAATCTAAACAATATATTATTTTTTTTCTTTCTCACAAAAACAAATTAAGATGACATAAATTAAATATCTTCAAAAAGGCATTTGCAAGTTCTGTGTTTATTTTAAAAAAAAATTTCTATATGTGATATACTGTTAAGTAACATCTCAGTTGTCGTATATATAGTATGCGGATTTTGCAAGAACTGCGTATCATTCTCAATCACACATTTCCTTTAATTGACTGCTTATCATTGTTTTGTGTACAATATATGTATAGACCAACGAATGTTGTCAAATAGAAGCATGTATAGACCAAGGAACGTTGTCAAACAGAAGCATAAAAATCAACAAATGAGATCAAAATGGATGTATTCAGATCTTCTAATTAGGAAGTAATGGCCAAATACAAACCTTTAATGTAGAATCTTTACATGTCCATGAACATTATTTGATGTGTAATAAACATTGATTTACATATTATGTAACTGATACATAGAAGGACTCAAAATGGGTTTAATTGACATAAAAATGACCCACCTAATTGATGTAACAACTAATATAAAATTGTCAAGTCTATAAGTTTAAATGCTCCATATGCCGCTAATTGAAGGTGATTATGAAAGAGATGATTCTATGTCTAAGACTTTAACGGAAATGAAGGACGGTGTTGGTGGTGTTTTGGGAGACTCGTATTTTGTAGACCAGTCCTCGGACCAGCCTTCTAAAAGATCCTCTGGTGAAACGTCAATATGTCACGTATGGAAAGAACTACTGGACAACACGTCAATGCACGGCGTCAGCCGGATATTCCGCCGGAAGACCATTTTTCATGGGTAAGATATTTTTCTCGTACTTTTTTATTCTAACGTAAAAGCATACACAAAGAATGTATTTTCCACTTTTAACTGGCGTTGAACAATTTTAAACTACTCTCTGTCAATCGATTTTAACCCATTTGCTAAATCTTTAGAACTATCAGGATAGGGAATGTAAAGAGCGTAGTGTTTTTTCATCCTAGGACTTTTGTTATCCTAGGACTTTTGTTGTCCTGTTTACGGTGTTGTGTATACTGCTTTGATCGCCATATATCACCTATCATAATTGTAATTTGTTTTAGAATCTCTTGGACTATTATGATGGTGGGTTTATCTTAGAATTTTTGGACTGTTTTGATGGTGTTTTTTTTCCATTACTTTTTGGAAATTATATTTTTTTTCTTCAGAATATTTTGGACTTTTATGGTGGTGGGATTTTTTCCCCCAGAATTTTTTGGACTGTTATGACGGTGTTTTTTTTTCAGAATTTTTTGGACTGCTATGATGGTGTTCATGCTTGTTTGCCTTACATTGGTCCTCGTTGCTTTTTCCACGTCGTATTTTTCCTACGAAACACTGATCAACTTCAAGGTGGAAATGGCCACTGATATGGAATTTCCTACCATAACCATCTGCAATGTAAGTCCGATAAACATTTCAAAAATTCAAAACGCCAGTGTCATATACGAATACCAATTAGCTAAAGAGGGGTATGGCGAGAGTTTTGGAAAGGAAATTAATATTTCCGATCCAAAGTACGCCATTTTACATGAGCCTAGAAACGACTCCTGGTTGATGGACACAAGCTTCGATCTTAGATCTATGATATTCAGTTGCAAGTTTGCAGGAAAAGAGAACTGTTATCAGTTTATAGAAAAAAGAAAAACGGACGTTGGTATGTGCTTTTCGTTCAATGGCCCGTCACAGAATCCTCCCGCTGTAAGCAGAATAACCGGAAGTAAAAAAGGACTGTCGATGTTTGTAAACTTGGACCAGGATAATTATGTCGTTGGAAATAACAAGGGCGCTGGATTACAGGTAAATATTAAAACTTGAAACATTTATTTTTTTTAATCATTCTTAGAATGATATCATGTTGCGTTATGGTACTCCAGATTAACAAACTAAGCTAAACATATTTAATCGTTGTTACTTCGTTTCGTTTATAACAATTGTAAACTATTGTTTTTTTGAAACGTAAACTATAATGCATAATTTATTAATTAAGTATAGTTTTTATCTATAAAATATAGATATAGTTTATGAATGATAAACAAATGAAATCTACCTGTGAATAATGTTCAAGATTATTGTTATCTACAGCATCATTGGTAAATGATGAATATCATTCGTTAATATAATTAAGTAATGTTTATATTCACCAATAAGATATGATTCACTTATTTTTAGCTATATATAGCAAATTTAAACTACAACCATTGGACATAATTATTTGCCACTTCAAAATGGCCGCCGTACTTTTTTACATCGCGCACCTTGATATTTAGGATCTGTTAAACAATTAATAAATGCCTATATTTTTTACCTCAATACTTTGTTATATTGCCTTTTATCTTTAATACTTCATTTAGTCTGCCAGGAAATGTCTTATACAGGTCCTCAATGTAGGAGGTTGGTACATTTTCCAAGCAAGTCCGAATTTCCGCCATAAACTGATCTTTTGTTAATGAATTTGGCACGGGTTTCCAGTGTTCTTTTTATTTCTAACCAAATGTTCTCGATAATTTTGAGGTCAGAAGACTGGGCTGGCCATTATGTTGTAATTATTTTGTTATTTGGCGATGTATTCTTTTACTAAATTTGCTCTATGAACGGAGCGTTGTCGTCCATAAATACATACTGGTTATCTGGAAAATGTCTCGACTGGCTAAAACGGTCAAAGGTTGTTGTCTATATTTCAGTATACATTTTCTTGAATTTATGTTATCTTCTACATTAGTTAAAGTTTCTATTCCTTTAACACACATACTACCCCAGATCATGATACTCAGATGTCGCCAAGATGGCTGACACACTAGATGCGCACTGTACTTTTCCTCGTCTTTTCTCCAGATATAAACTTTCTTATTTTTTCCAATTACTTTCTGGCTTTCATTACTAAACAACCATTTATTCCATTCACGATCAACAGTCCAATTTCTCTCTTTGTACCACATTTGTTGGCCTAATAGGGAATAGCGACTTTTATCTTGGAAACCCTCCGTAAGTAACCCAGCTCTCAGTGAATTTTTTCTTTTTATAGTTCTACTACAAAATCTATTTTTTGTTTTCCTCATTTACAATATCTGTTATGTCTTCGTAAGTTCTTCGTCTGTGTCCTTTAACTACAGGTGAAATTTTTTTTCTCTGTCTGTAAACACTTTCTCCCCCCCCCCTTTCCTCGTCGATTTTCTACCTGTCCCGTTTCATTAAATTTTTTCACAATACTACATATTGTAGACCTAGGAATTCCTAATAATCTCTCCAATTCTGATGTATTTCTGTTCCCTCTATACGTTTTTACAACCATACTTCTGACGGGCGTATCTAGTTCTTTTCCCTTCCGACCCATGTTGTTTTTTACATAAATTTATCGACAAACAATAAAGCAGACGACAAAAATATTGTGTATACGTCATGAATTTTAGTATAGACGAATTTCACATTCGTAAGAGTTTTCTCCCGATGTCGGCGTAACGCTCATTTTTCTCACTATAACCTTTGTAACTTACCTGTAAATATTTCCAATCTTTAAACGCTATCGGACAATTTTGATCCTTTTCCTGTATTGCCATAGTATGGGGCAACATAAAAAACATAACAAACATATTCATACAGATTTCATTTGTAAGACATTGTCTCATGAAGTTGGTAATGATATAGAGGGAAAGTCTTACGCCGGTTGACCCCAAATTGACCCCGCAAAGGGAAATAACTTTTGTAAATGTGAAAGTCGTCTATTACAAAGATAAAAATAGAAAAGGAAAATCTATTGCTTAATAACAGCACCCATAACTACTTCACCGAACATACGAGAAAACATGACACTCTCTGCGCGGAAGTGGCGAAAATTAAGTCCCTTGATCGTCTGTTTTCGTTAGCTATAATAGTAGATTGTTAACTACACATATAGCTTACTAACCGTGAATCTTTATTTATCTTGCAGATAGAAGATATTTTGAACTTGAAAATAATTGTATAATTGTTTTCACTATTTTAAAGTATAGTTCCCTTTGCAATGTCCTTGTTAGCAATATTGCATTTTTTATGAGAAAATTTTAAATTACCGAACAATGATTGCAGGTTGCGATTCACCATCGAGATGTTGAGCCTAATATGGTAGATAAAGGCTTCTTAGTTTGTCCTGGCACTGTCAGTTATGTGCCGATCAGGAAAAGCAAGGTACGAAAAGAAAATGTAACCAGAAGCCATGAAATACAACTGAAGTAGATTTGTATATGAAGTTTTTTTTTTATTATTATTTTTTTTTTAATTCACACAACATACATAACATTATATACATACATCAAGTTTCAGAAGCAGAAGTGTGTTTTTATTTTATGAGAGAGAGAGAGAGAGAGAGAGAGAGAGAGAGAGAGAGAGAGAGAGAGGGTGAGAGTTAAGAGAATAGTAGGTTCCACCTGTTCCACTGGGTATCAAACTTTTCCTTTCCACCATTCTTATAAGAAATAAATTTTTGTGTTTCATAATGAAATTTCATTTGTGATATTGCAGTATGTACATTAATAGGTTTCTGGGTGCATCTTGCAGTATAAATATAATATTTAAGCCAAAGAAGAATAGCATTTTGAACATCAGTGTTTTCATCAATAAACCCTAAAATAAAAGATTTCTTAGTAACTCTAATCTTTAGACCTGTCTTATCTTCAAGTAAATGAACAAATTCTTCTAGAAAAATTTGTGTACTATTGCATTCCCACAAAAGGTGTTCTATTGTTTCCTCCTCAGTGTGGCAAAAACTGCAGAACTTACAGTCATTTTTCTTAATTTTGAATAGGAATGAATTTGTTGCTAAAATTTTGTTTATAATCCTATACTGGAACCATTGGACTTTACAGTCTTTTGTTACTCTGAAGGGTATTATGTGAATTTTTTTCCATTCCTTAATTTCAATTTCTAGAAGCTCACTCCAATGTGTTTTACCTGCTGCAACAGAAGAATTTTGATTAAGGATTTCATAATAGCATTTTGATTTTTTACATTTCATTACTGTGTAGATATTTGACATAACTAATGGGTTAGCGAGCTTTTTTATTGTTTTTTCCTTACCAGAATTTTTCATCCAAGCCTTTATAGCATGAATAATACTATTGTATTCTAAAAAATTAATCTTTATATTTGGATAGGTGTTACAGAAACACTCATAAGTAAAGAGTGAACCATCCTCATTTATGATATCATTAAGTTGTCTAATGTTACTGTCAAACATTTGTTTATTATAAAATGGTTTTCCACCGATATGTAAATGTGGATTGTAAAATAATGGTGAGTCACCAGCAACATCAAACTTTTTTTCAAGGTTTTGTAACATTATCCATGACTTAAAAACATCTGTCCAAAATTTATTCTTCAATGTTTTTAAGAAGGTTGTAGTGTATTCAATTCCACAACTTAAAAAATTGTTCAAATTGAATTTTGGAATGAGGTGTTCAATCCCCCTATTTGTAAAGATGAGATGCCTTATCCAAAATAATTTCATGGAAGCTATAAAAGACATCAGATTTAACATTTTCAAACCTCCATCTTCATATTTTTTTACAATTACTTCTTTTTTTACTCTATGCGTTGAGTTATTCCATATAAATGAGAAGAAGATTTTTTCCAGCACATATAATAAATATATATGGTGACAAAGGATCGCCCTGTCTGCAACCTCTCTGAATGTTAATCCTATCAGAGAGATTACCACCTTGGTTTATTGCAGATGTAATGTCTGTATTAAAAAGCGATACCCACTTCTTAATTGAGGGACCAAAGTTAAAAAAGTTAAGTGCACCTTGTATAAAGCTCCATGATAAAGTATCAAAGGCTTTTTCAAAGTCAATAAGTAGTAATAGTCCAGGTATATTTTCTTCCTCAGTGTAATGCATTATGTCGTAAATTAGCCTTGTGTTTTCTCCTATATATCTATTGGAAATGAAGCCTGTTTGATCTTGATTAATTATTTTATCTAAATAACATTTTACTCTGTTAGCGATAGACCCAGATGCAATTTTATAGACGGTATTTAACAAAGTAATAGGTCGCCAGTTCTTTAAGTATTGTCTTGGCTTGTCACCTTTTGGTAACAAAGTAATGACACCATGTCTTTGTGTAATAGACAGACTGTTATTCTTATATCCGTAATTAATAGATCTAACTACAAAAAAACCAATATATTTCCAAAACATCTTGAAAAATTCAGCAGAAAACCCATCCGATCCAGGGGATTTATTTGATTTCATTTTGTAAAGCGTAGAAGAGGCCTCCTCCATAGTAATTTCGCCCTCTATAGATTCTGACTCTTTGCATGAAAGCTTAGGTATTTCTTTATTGCTTAACTTGCTGAATAAATCAATATTTGTATTTACTGTACTTTTTGTATATAACTATTCATAAAATGATTTTGTTTCCCTCAAAATTTCTGATTGGTCATAAATAACATTTCCATTATTATCCTCCAATCTTGGTATGATCTTACTAGTAAAGTTTCTGGATTCTAGTGTACAAAAATAATGTGATGGTTTTTCACCTTCCTCAACCCATTTTGCTCTACTTCTGATATATGTACCCTGTAATTTATGTTTTCGAATGTTCTCTAATTCTTGCTTTTTACTACACAATTCATCGATATTATTTTCACTAACATTTTCTTCCAATGTTCTAATATTTTCTATTAATTCTTTCTCCTTATTTTCATTCTTCTTTTTGATATAAGTTGCATATGAAATAGTTTTACCCCTTATTTCAAAGAGCAGGGTTTCAAGGAATAATTGATCATCAATAGTGAAGAAAATGTCTGAATCTAAAATATTATTTATGTTATCAAAATTGTATACTGGAATTGCATATTGTTTTTTAACCTCCTAGATAACTTTTTTGATGCATTCCAGATATTTTTCATCATAAAGTAAAGAGTTGTTAAACTTCCATAGACCCCTTCCTTTCTTAAAGTCGTTAAAGGCTATAGGCAATGATATCATGGAGTGGTCTGATCTGTAGCTAGATTCTACAGTACATTTTTCTAAACCTGACAAAAGGGACTCTGATATTAAAAAGAAATCTAAACGACTTTGTTTCAAAGGAGTTTTTCTTCTCCAAGAGTATCTACGAACATTTTCATGTAATTGTCGAAAAGGGTCAATATAACAATTATTTTCTATTATTTCCAAAACCTTTTCTCTTGCCTTTGGATTATTGATAGATTTATAATTATAATAATCTAATTCTGGGTTTAAAACTAAATTAAAATCACCACACCAGATAAAATTACTACAGTGCATATCCTCAATGTGATTTTGTACGTTTTCATAGAAGAGTGGTGTGTCATTATTAGGACCATATATAGTGCATATCAATACTTCATGTCCCTCTGTACATGCTTTAAGCAAAATATAGTTTCCATCAACATC